CCGTCTCTTCATGTTCCGCCTCTCATCATATACTCGCCCAATATTATTGTTTGCGCCGATGCTGATCCACTCGTCCTTTAGCTCTCCGTGATTCTCGCTGTCTCACTGTTGTGTGTGGTATGATGTCTCAACATGCTTTTTTGTTCATTGTGTTCTGTATGTCTATGTCTCAGTCTTTTTGTTCGCTGCGCATGCTCTGTCACCTGCGCCGTACTTGCGCTCAAACTCGGTGATAAATGGCTCGTTATTCATTACACTACTCAGTGCAAGGCGGTCAATCCTAATACAATGACGTAATTTGTAGCCTGGCAAATCCAAATGTTCCCAAGGTCTTTTGCGACGGTGAGGTGAGTGAACACCACTCATGCATCTGCGCCCATCGCCTTAAGTGTCCCATTCCTGCTTATATGAAGTGGTGCTGCGAAGCCTCAACTGGTCCGACAACGATATCGTCGGTTACCACTCCATCAGGTGCTCTGCACTTAGAGAGTAGAGATGGTCGACAGCAGACAGAGTTACGTGTTTGTAGTGCCACGCATGTCAAACAAATATATTTTTAAATAAATGCTCGTCGCCAGATAAAGGCAAGGGTTTGGGGTCCTAGAGTTAAGCGAGTCGGACTGTGAAGCGTAGGAGCATGCGTGACGGAGCAACTTGACCTGGCGGTTCTCGGCCACCGTAGACTTGTTCTACCTCAGGCTCACATCTAGTTGGATTGAAATCCCTCGTAGAATCTGTAAGTAAGAGCGAATCAAGATTTGCAGGCAAAGCTACCATGGCTCACGATTGCGAGCCCCACATTCAATACATATCAGGTGTGGCTCGAGAAACATCAGGATATAAGCAGTATGGATGCTGCTGTCAATACACCTTCACATTCGAGATCCCTATGAAATTGTAGTGCGCCGCGCCACGTGCGCCACGTCTTGTTGCCATTGTCCCGGCCATCATCAGGGACTATTGGTCTTTCCCTTGGTACCCAGTTAACTTATGTTTCAAGCAGTAACCACTGTGGCATAAAGTGGATCAAGAATGGAAGATTGTGCCACTTCTTTGACACCAGTGGCATGCCAGTAACGTATGGCACAACTGGGATTTCTGACAATTCGCGTGGGGATCGCAGGATCATAACTTTGATATGTATGCTCTCTTCGTTATCAGGCGACACTGCAGAGGCAAGAAAGTAATTCGAAAGCAGATGATACAGCAGCGAGAAGGTACAAGCATAGCAAGGGTAAAAGTATAGTGGAACTTCCCAGGCCCTAGACACCCCGCGCCACACGAACCACACCGACACCCCCAAATCCAGCATTCAGAACCACCGCCCCATCCTCGAGGCAGCGGTGCGGCAGCCCAAAATCCAGGGGAGTGAGTCACGACTAGAAGGCACAGAGAATCGTCTGAGCAATATCGTTGGGGATAGAGTGTGATACGTAGCAATTGCACCAAAGCGGGAACAGAGGAGGGGCATTTGCGGCAACCATCGGACCGATGCGATCCTTGATCAGTGATAAGAGAGAGCAACTCCCGCTTCGCCCTCTTCGCTCACCGACTTCAGCGCCTGCCTCAATTTGCGCTTCACCATCGTTCACCATCGTCATGTCCTCCGCGATTGCTTTCATCTTCGGCGAGCAAACAAGAATCAATCCCGTACAACTAGGCAGCTATGCCACCCAACACGTTATCGATCAATTCACAAGTGTTGGAGCGACCGTTGCACATGGACTCACCGCTAACCAGGACACGACACCGACGAACACCAATGTGATGGTGAGCACGATCTCCTCGTATTGCGAGTTGTGCATGTGTGGATATCTGACTTCAGTCGTTAGTCGAGTTCGTCAATTCGCCTAACTACTGACCTAAACCACTCTCGTGGCCCAGTGACACCTGTCGTGTCCCACATCCCCGATACGTCCGTGGCAGGGCCGCAGCCAGAGCATCGCAAACCTTCGGCCGCTTCACGCCCAACTTACCACCTCGTTTAAGGAAAGCGAGACCAGGACGGCGCGAGCGTGCACTGCTGCGCCTCCAACGGCAGGCGGGTATTTCCCATGATCCTACTTCCCGCCAGCAAGGTCCGGGTGTCGTCGCGACGCCAGGAGATAGCACTATCAACGCACCAACGGAGGCGTCCAATGTCGTTCCACCTCAGGCTGAGCACAGGATACCGCAAGGACCCGCAACACCCGACGACCTGCCTCCTCGCCGGAGGGCGAAGCCGGGCCGCCGAGAGCGTGCCCTTCGACGGCTTCAGCGACAAGGAGGGCTACTCCAGGATCACGCGACCTCGGCCCTTGGCCCGACGCAGGGTCCTGATCCTACTCTGCCGCCGACGCCGACGACTCCTGTGAATGCTTCTTCGCCGGGGGGAGAGCGGGCTGTGGTAGGAACAGACAATGCTCAGTTTTTGCTTGAAGAGCGACCCGACTGCGCGAACGCTCTGCCCGAAGTCGCTCACATTGAGAATGCTGCCGCCTCGCAGCACGATCAACCCTCCTCTTCCCCACCACCCTACGACCCGATCGTACTGGGACTGGAAGCGGCACGATTCATCCTGGAACAGCATGGATCGAGCCAATATCCGGCGGTGGCTATGACACACTATCACCCACAGTATCCAGTTGCAGTGGAGCAACAACAGCTTGTGGATGGGGCGATCGAGAGGCAACACGCCGCGTCAGGCGAGGGTAGGTCGATGGCGGTCCGTTTCGAGTACGCTGAGGGCGGCTCATTTTCGCGAATGGCCGTCCTCACGGACTGGTCCCCGCACTACTGGCAGCCAAGGCCGTTCATGTCTAGCTTGCCTCCCAACGCTGTCAGCCGGGAGGCCGTAGCAATACCCATTCGCGTCTTGCAGAACACTCGGTATGGCACCGGCGAGCCCGAAGCGCCGTATGCTTACTCCAGCCCGTGGACCGTCCCTACGGGTCGTCAAGCACCGGAAACGATGGTTCCAGCACCCTACGTAGCGCCAGCGAGCACTGCGCTGCCGCAAGGAGGTTTCCCTCCCGAGCGAGCTGAGACTCCGGATGCCCCCGACCTAACACAATTCCCCGCGGTGCCTGAGCCGTCCAGTCTTGCTCTGACCCAGGCTCTATATCCCTTTGTCGACTGTCCAGGGCCCTGTCCTGCGGATTGCCCTAGGCGATTGATGTCGGCGCGCGCATACTCTCGCCGCCGCTACCGCCGCCATGGTATGTCGCGCCTTCCCTGCCCCATGCGATTCGATCCCTTCGATGAGTATCTGGACAGCGAAGGGGGCGCGCCGCAGTGCTGTCATGCAGCAGACGAGGTAGAGCCCGCTTCTCCTACCTCACCCGTTTCTCCAGCAACAGCGACGTCTACATCAGTGCCGACGCCGTGGACGGCCAGCTTCAATGCCGACCTCAGTCCCTGTTCGTCGCGCAAGGGACTTGCGCAGTCCGGCGAGGAAATCCTATACACGACGTGTTGTGGGTACACATGGAACACTCACTGATGGCGATGAGACTGACGGGGTGACAGCGGGCATCCCTGTCAGGCGCGAGAGGAAGCGCGTTGGCCTTGTTGAAGGAGAGCACCAGTCAACGCCTTGGTGGTATCTCGACCAGAGGGAAGCCCACCGGTATCTTGAGCTGCTTGAATACCTCGAGCACCGCGCCGTATTACGCGTGAAGGCTAAGCTGGACAACTTCGAGGAGAGCGACCGTCCCCCATTGATGCCGCTCTGGATTCATTTCCCCCAGCTCCTTCCCCCGGTCTTCGACGCGCCGCCCGAGAATATGCTGCAGCTCCAGCTCAGCGGGAACTGATACTGACGGCAGAGACGCGGGTGCTAGGATGGTTAAGGAGTCGAAGATGCGTGTGCTGAATAGATAAATGATGAGGGACGGAGGTTGAAATTTCTCGGAGGGTCTCAAGTTGTCTCAGAAGGATACTGTACGAATACGGCTGATGTAAAGTTGATATGGGCCTGTAGTCCCCAGTGAATTTTCTGAGTTTTTCATTCTCGCTCCCTGAGGTACGGCCGACACCACCATTGTGACCTCCGCATACTGGGCGCCAATTCTAATGTCCAGGGTGCCAGTAGACGCCCAAAGAAACACGAGGCGGCAAAGACCGAGAGCAACATGAACCAGGAAAGTTCGCGCCACCGACCTTGTTGAATCTCGACGATTGCCATTGCCTCCTTCACCGTTTCGACAGCTAGAATCCGCGCCAGAGAAGGCATCCGCTAGTAAAATCAAAGTGCTGAGACAAGACTTCTGGCAAGCAGTGTCCTCCGACTAGTAACGCTAGTAGGCGGGTTGCAATTTCGACGCCGGACCGTACGGACCAGAGAGAAACTGCGCATTCATCTCTGGTTAAATTGCAGAGTACGATGCAGCAAAGGTACGCCGGCCAGCTTCCGAGCCACTGCTGAGATGGACTATAGATCGAGGCGATTGATCGCAAGGCTGACCACTTCACGAGCACGACACCTCCATGTTCCGTTAGGTGTGTTCCGCACCTGCAATTGAGCGATCGCTGACTGAGGAACCTTTTGGACTGCAACAGAGTTCACGTCGACGGCGGATCGATGTTCAGGAACACTTGCGATTTCCGGGCCACCAGACAATCGAGCCAGCGCATCCCGCGCGGTCTTCACAGCTCTACCGTTCGGCTTGCCATATATAGAGACAAAAGCACCGTCGATATCAGATGCAGGAACAGTACCACGGATTTGAAGAGTCATTGGGCCTAGTGGTTCCATGTGCGAACGAGGAGCACGGAAATAGGCAGATACGTTCAGGGGCACCAGCGATAAGTGCTTCCTACCATGCCGAGTTTATTGACTGGACATTTACCATTGCATAGGATAACGGGCCCCATCTCTGCTCTATTGCCAAGACTGTACCATCTGTTGTGCTAGTGTCGACGGTGAAAAACCTTGCTGTCCAAGTCCCGAGTCCCAGCGGTTCCGATACCACAGAATAATGGTCCCCGTCTCTTTCGACAGGAGGCGTGAACGTTCTAGGACCAGTGCACAGGCTAAGACAATCATCGATGTCCTTGTGGAATTATCGGGGGAACTGTCGCGAAAAAAACCAGTTATTCCCCCATGTTGCAGTCGTGATATCAAGCTGAAGTCTGTTGCGAGCGATGAAGCTGCCGATTTATTGAGGTATGGGTTCGACGAATACGATACCAGCAAGCGTGCGTGAATCCATCGATGGTAAGCAGAGTCATGGTAGCTAGCAGCCACGGTGGCGTTGCCCAAATAGAGTTCCGGCATTGCCACGAAATGTCCCGCCATCTCTTGTCGCCGCCGTCGACGAAAGTCAGTAACGCTTAGAATTGACTATGTTGGCCCTCGATGATTCAAAGCTTCCCTTGGTGGACTTTTGCATCTCGAACTGGCGAATGTCTTCTGCGACGGCAAACGACACGGACGGGATGATGCAGCAATCACGCAGTTATTATTCTAAGATCCACACTTGATCTTGAACTTCTAACCATTATTTAGTCTCAATAAACTGAGGATCATGAATTGAAACTGAGAGTCTAGGAAGTTGCTAGTCTTGCAGACGTTTTCACGATCGCATCGAATGGGCGAACTACTGGTCTCAGTGGAAAATTCGTAGGGAAGAGGCTGTCTTGTTGGGTTTATCCCAGTTGTATCTTGCTTGCTAGACTGTGAGCTCGTTCCTGCCGAAGTCCTTCTGTCATGGCAACCCCGACGCTATGTTTCGCGAGCCTGAACATGATTTCGGTAGACCCCCCGTTGGGGCACAGTCAGTCTGACTCAGGCGGATATATCGCTGCCGCAATCACCGCATGCCTGATACTAGTGATAGTCTTTCTTTCCGCCCAAACATATAAGTAGGTGAATCAATGGATGCGAACCGTACTAGGTACCCATGTTGCTCGTCGACCTCCCTCCTGAGATACTGGACCGCATTGCCTGCTCTGTCGACCGCCGCGAGGATCTCCTGTCCTTCGCTCTGACGAGCAAGCTGCTATCCTCAGTCGTATCCCCCACGCACCTTGAGTACTGCGACATACGGACTCGCGTATTCGCGCCCGCGCTCTGGATGCGCCTGGCTCACCCGGATGACCATCATGCGGCAAAGATTCGTTCCTTGACCATACTTTCGAATAATCCCGCCAAACAGGACATAGACTCCCTCTCGACGGAGGAGCGGCTACCAGCCGAGTATCGCAACAGTCCTGCCGCAGAACACGACCAGCTCTTCCTGAGTCGAAACGCAAAGGAACTATTGAGTCAGTACGAAAATGACCTGATCAAGGCCGTGAAGCGTATGCGTAATCTCCGCCGCTTTCGCTGGCTTCGCCCGAGGCTTCCAGGTTGCGACGGTATCTGGTCGGTGCTCAAATCCTTGGGCTCCGTCGTGGACTTGCACTTCTTGGATACCGACTACGACTGCCCGGTACGCCGTTACCCTTACTATGGGGAGCAGACCATGCTCAACGCAGCCTTGTTTAGCTTCCGTCCTTCCGGGGCTTGCTGTCCTTGAATATCATGACGAATAGGCTTAGCATAGAACCTGGAACACAGGATGTGACGTCGATGCTCAACATGTCTGTTACCGACTGTCCTGATCTGACGGTTCGTCTAACTCGTAGCCTAGATATTCCTTGCTCATGTTTCATATAAGAGCCTCACCTTCCGCTCCAGCAAATTTCTCGAGTATAGCGCACGCATCGATGTTCCGCTGAGACGCGCCGCTTGGAAAAACCTCCGCTCCCTCCGCCTTGAAGGGTTGACCTGCACTGCCGAGACGCTGCGCCACTTTCTCAATAATCATCCGACCCTCGAGGAGTTGGCGCTCCCTCCCGAGCTCCCTGGCAAGGAATGGCGGGAGCTGATGCTCTCCGACGGTGCACTTCGGAACCTCCATACATTAGAGTGTCATGCCCCGACCACGGCTGCAATTCTCGGAAACCCTCGAGCGGTTACGAGCATCCGGAAGATCCGTGGACTCAACCTGGATGGTGAAGCCCCCTGGAAATGGGACTATCTTCCTAATGCAGACGACCCAGACGAACCATATGACGATGACCCCGATCCAGTAACGCTCAAATGGAGGGAAGAGTTAGTGGAGGGCATCAAGACCCATCCATCTATAACGACGATCGAGTGTTGTCATGTCGAGGACATCTCAAGGCTTACAGAAATCGCTGCAGTGGCCCGCCAGATCACGGAGCTTTCGATTACTGATAACTCGAATGTCAGTCCCCAGTACGAGATACCGCTGCCACTGCCTGCTCGTCAGACTCATTGACAGAGAGCGACTCCCAGAAACTCCCCGCGGATCAATGGTTCCAGGCTTTGGCTCACTTGCAGCGCGTCAGATGCGCTGACCTGTTACTGCAGGACAATAGCGCGCTAAGTCCGATCATACAGAAGCTGCTGGAGGTATGCCCGAGTCTGCAAATAGTGAGCGACCGGTCGTGCAGCGAGCCAGTCGTTTTGGTATCGGATAGCGAGGTATATACCGTCTAAGCGGGTGTGCTGTGATCGTTCCGATAATGACATTCATTCTATAGGTCAAGCTAACAAAGTAGCACGAGAATCTGAAGAACGTAGGCTCTCGTCGATGCCTTCGTTCCTGATGCACTCAGCATCTCACTTGAACACTGCACCATAGACTTGTTTGAGGGCGTTGCAAAACGCGCGATATTCTCTTCGTGGAAGGTGGTAATATCACGTGACGAATGCCACAGCTCTACGCCACCGTTGCAGGCAAGGAGAATCGTATTCGCAGTAACGCAGAATCGCTTCGTGCTCTGAGTTTCCGTATTGTACGACTGTTTGCTCAGAACCAACACTCTCACCCATGAAAGGATCCCTCAAGGGCAGCAGCAAAGGCATGAAAGGGGACAAAGGCCTTTGTCTACCGGGACACGCCGAGTGAAGTCCACGGTGCCACACACGCTTGGCATAAGAAGCCCATCATTCTTCACGAACGCTACCGCCATCCAAGCTCTTCAAATCATCCACTCAATTCTGTGTTCTCGACGATATGACTCCGAACAACTCGAATGAACACATGTCTAATTACCGCGGCCTCAGCAACATGCCACAACACGCGTTACACAGAGAGAGGTCCACAACCCAGCAGATCAGACGCGGTGAATACGGCCAAAGCCAGGAACTAGCATATGGCACGAGTTCGGTACGTTACTGCTACTCTGACTCTTTGCTCTCGTCAAGCCTAACTGCGGGTATGCAGAGATTTGAGGAAGTCCAGAGAGTGAACACGTCTGACATCCCTACAAGTCGCGCCTCTGGCTCTGGGGAACACAATGTCGTAATCGCATACGAAGCACCCCAAGCGGACATGAATATGGTACGCCACGCACTCTGTCTCACCGGTTCATTAAGTTCTGACCTTCCGTCGACAGCAGCGGCGTACCTATAGCAGCGGGAGCGCAAACGTGCTATCAGTACCACCGACCTATGTTGGACCATTTGTTGCCAACATGATGCAGCGGGCAGGTACGGCCCTGACGCAAGTGTATGGAAGACATCCGTCTGTCGGGGGCAATGGAAGTTATGCACCGGGATATGCACCAGGAGCTCGCGGCCGAATTCAGGGCGCAGGCCTCGCACGTCCACCCGCGAGTAACGGCGGTGGGTCAGCAGAAGGCGCTAAACGGCGTTCGAATGCTGGGAAAGCTATCGACCGCGAGGGCTTTCAACATGGGGAGGCGTACCAGAGAGGGAGGAAGCGCCGACTAGACCCAAGTAAGGGTCATGAAGAACAAGGAGCGGCGACTACGTCAACTTCCCCGAGCAAGCGCAGGCGCACCTCCCCTCCAGCTGCTGAGCCGAGTAGTCATTCAGGAACCGTGCAGGTGATACACGGTCCTTGTCCGGCCGGTGCACGGATTCCCGGCGCCGTTGGAGTCGATCTTCCAGCTTCCGCCTCTAATGCTAAGCGAACGAGAGAGGACGACGACTGTGAGGAGCTGTACACCCCTAGGCATGATTCCAGCGACGCGACCCAGGTACTGGAGCAGCAACCACGCCCATCCAAGAGGCTTCGAGAGGATGCTGGGGAGCAAGCAGACGTCGGAGGCACAAAGATCACGGGAAACAACACTGTAAGCGGAAGTCTCTGAAGTGCGCCTGGATATCAGAACTAACTGAAGTTTGGTTAATAGGCGCTTTCGCAAGAAAGCTTAACTCAACTAACCAACCTTGGTCACGGTGCAGAACCGGCTGAGGACTGGAACGAACCCCTACAACTTGAAGCAACCACGGCCAGTGGGACACGGGAGTCCGCGACAGTCGAGGAAGACACTTTGGGAATGGACCATCCGTTCCAAACGAACCCTCTACCCAACATTCGCGATCATAAGCGGTGGGTGCAATGGCCACCGAGGAAGGAGACGTCCGTACGTTCTGATCCCGAATTCGAGTTTCTCCCCAGCACCTGGGATGCATTGGGGTTTGGATATTACGAGTTTGATCCTGACGAGAGGTTACTAGCGTCGAGTATACCTCTATATTAATGAGACGGTGCAGTCGATTTTCATAAGAATATCAAGCCAACGTGGAGCTCCCTTTGAAGTCGCCTAGCGAGACATCGCAGCAGAACTTGCATTTATGACCACAAGCGGAAGAGACGTTTAGTCTCGGCAATACCCGGCAGTTTCACTCCTAACCGGTCTACTCAAGCTTGTCTCCTTACAATATTTCAGGATCGCCGGCCCTTGAACTTGTACATAAGATGCTGTCTCTTTATTTGTTGTGCTGAGGACGACAATCCCGTTCGTAGTACAAATACGCTGAGATATCCCGACTCGGAGCTAGGACGTCGAGTCTGCAGGCCACACGATGTCACCGTCACTTCCGGTCAGTTGCAGAAGACGACAACGACTCTTATTGTTTCCGAGCTCGAAGGCAACGTACAGTAAAGAGACGCACCACCAGCGCATACTTTACCGGACTTCGCGTTTCTCCTTTTGCGCAGCATACTCCCCCAGGAATACATTGCGTTCATCATGGTTGCCCAATGCCTTTTCTGACAGTGACGCTGCGCCTGCATAGTCTATCCCGCTGCCTACCGTCATCAAAGCCAAGTAACAGGCAGCGTGGGGGATGTCCAACGTCACATCAGGCAGATCTCCCAGCTCATCTCCCAAGGCAACGGCGAAACTGTCCATATTATGACAAGCCTGGCGAGTTGCGGGGAGCTCAAAGAAGTGGGAAACCGCAGTACTCGCACTTGCAGGATCGCCCGCCAGTATCGCAGTTCGGATGAGATCTCCGACGAAAATATGTCTGTGTTCTGGCAGGAGTTGCTGCAAGAATGCATTCGCAGGCTGGATGTTTCCGGTGGAAACAAAGGTCCTCGCGCCCTCGACACATGCGTAGTGAAGGCGACTCAAGGACAGCCCAGGCTCTGTAACGTCCGAGCCTTGTTCCAGTTCATCGCTCGAAGTCGTCGGAGAAGCGTCCAAGCCGTAGTACTCGACTCCTTCCTCACTTAAGCCGAAGATCTCTTCCGTCTCGATGTCTTGGGCTCGGGTGAGTATTGCCTATACCATCCGATAAGTGGCATGCTTTGTTCAGGGGAAAGGTTACTCACTGAAACCGTGTACTGTATCATTGGCCTAAGGCAGCTTCCTTTCAGCACACATTCCAGCTCGTCGATAACATGCAAGGAGTGCAGGAGCAGCGGCGCATTAAAGCTCCTGAAGATCGCCAAACAGAACCTCCGGACAGCTGCCACTGCTACACTGTCGTTGTCCGCAGCCTCTCGACAGAGGTCTGTGAACTGGTCGCACACATCCTCTGGCCGCAGCAAGTCCTGCACAAGCAGCTCGGCGCAGAACTGCATAAGGTTGCACAAGCGTTCGCGGTCCCTTTGCTTGTGGAAGCGACGGAATGTCGTAGCGAGCATAGAGCGTATACTCGTGACGAAGTAGTTGGGTGCCGGGTCAGCCTCCGCTGGGTTAACATCGTGGTAGTCCACGAACTCCCAATACCCTCGCTCCCGCTCCAACTCATCCATAACCCTGCGGCAGAGGCTGGCGTATAAGCGTGGCTGCTGGGAGCTGTTCGGGCAATGAAATAAGCTGCGGAGGATCTGCGCGATGGCGTTGCCGTACAGCTCCCCCACCGCTGGGTCGTGACTGCGCTCGATGTCCAGAAAGCAATGTGCGATCTGATCAGACACCGAGGGGAAGTTGTACGCGGTTATCTTGTTCAGCAGGCCGCAGAGGCGTCGCCCGACGATCACTGGGTCCGTCGGAATGTTCCAGGGTTTCCAAAATGGCGACGGACGCGAGGCGTGCGTTGGATGAGACGGGATATCCTGAGCCATTGCTAAGGAGTAGCAAGCAGGAGGGTGATGTGGCACGGGTGAGTGTGGGACAGCAGATACGTGCTGATATATACGATAGGGCTTACCCGGAGGAATGGGCCATGAGTGGCCAGCCATCCCTCGGTCCCGTCCATTAACCTCGTGCCACTAATGTCGGTACTGTTCGCAGGAAAGAGTTAGAGCACCAGTCAATATTCAACGAGATGACTACAATCTCCAGGATATACAGCTTACCATGGTGTCCGCTCTAATTAATGAACATGGTAATCAGTCTCACTGTATGAAATGAAACTCACAAATTGTTGAAACAAGGGGTGAATGTGACAATCATATATATGCCTCAACATTGCCTTACATTGTCCCAGTCTAGCCGGTGAGTCCATTATTTCAGGTTGAGAACTTCCCATACACATGTATTTCCTCCAACACCGCGGGCACGTCACATGCTATAATATGCAATGTAGCTGCATTCATATTCGAATATGGCTCGGTACAACGCATTGAAGGCTCATAGAATATCGATGAAACTGTCGGCAGAACTGATCGCGGACGAAGGCAGTTAGGTCCATATCACTTGCCTCCATTCTTTCTTTTCTTCGTGGGCCGTTCCCCCGCTTCGTCGTCACTCCCATTCGAGGCGCTCTCCGGGGACTCCTTCTTGCTGACGTTGCTACGTCCTGCCCTTTTCTTACCCTTGGCGTCAGACTTTGCGCTTGGCTTTGCCTCGTCGTCATCCTCATCGGTCGAAGCAAAAGGATCGTCCCGGGCAGCCTTAACGGAAGCTTTGAATTTCGGGGCAGGTTTTCTGCTCTTCGTTGGTGCCATCTTTGCTGGTGCGGGAGCAGCACCGTCGCCCTCGTCATCCGAGACAAAAATGTTAGCCTCGGCCGCTTCCTTTTTCGCCTTGAATTTGGGCTTTTCCTTGGCAGGTGCGGACTCCTTGGATGTCTCACCCTGCACTTTTTCCTCGCCCGACGGCTTGGAGGAATCAATTTCCGCGAAGAACGCGTCTTTGAGTTGCTATATGCATGGGTCATAAAGGAACAAACGCTGAGCTTAGCACCCGTATATGGAGGCAGGTGCCCGACGTTACCTTAATTTCCGAGTCTTTCATCAAACTCGTGTTTTTCCACACCTACGCGGGATGTATAAGCGTGAGAAGTGCTGCTTTAGACAATTGGTTACCGTCGACTGGATACCGCTCGGATGTTTGCTATCGATACCTACATTACAACACGGTGAAACTGAGCAATGAATGCTCGATGATATGTATTACTTACCGACGGCGGTGTATAGATTGGACTTGACTCCACTCAAGTTCAGGCCGTGATTCCTTAGGAGTACTTTCATTACCTGGATGATTTCATTAGTGTCTGCAATACAAAGAAAACGACGGAATGACGGGACCTCTTTAACGGCTTGCTCGTCATACACGTCGGGCATGTACAAGCATATGACATGCTGATGATTGGGAGTCTCGCTCCGAGGAGACGTGGCAACTTTGGCACGATAGGCGGGCGTTGCAGCCAGGGGTCCGGAGACGAGAGAGACTTGAGAATTAATGAGGAAATGACATAGGAAATGACATAAAAAGTAGGGCATACGCACTTGCCAGCTTCGTCCATATCTGATCTACTTTGTCTGCAGGCGCAAAAATTAACCTGTGTGTGGTGAATAATAATGACAGGCGGAGATCACAGTAGCTAATACCATTTGCCGGAGACAACACCGTGCTTGACGGAGATAGCTTTCAGTCTTTCAGTAGCCTCCGCTTGCACCTAATGGAATCGTTAGTATGATCACCAATACAGGTATCGGTAGTACTTGCCTGCTCGCGCAGTTCCTTCTTGCTTATTGCTCCGGTTTTCTTATTGGAGCGAGTCGGGATAGAAGCGTCGTTCTACAGTAGTGAATATAGATCAGAAATCTCCCGCAAGAATACTCTTGGCCATGCCTTGATCTTCTCTACTTTCTCTGTGATTTCCTTCACTAGAATCAGACATAAGTATTACACGTTTCAGAGGCATCACTGTACGAACACATCTCAGTGGCTTCCTCAACGGCAGCGTCATGCTCTGGCTCTTCCTTGGCACTTTTGGAGCCCTTCACCCATATCCACTGCAGAAGACGTTCAGGAGGCGGGAGATTCAGAGTTCAGGTACCTGAGGGACTTACAGGTTTATTACCATCGTCTTGAACCATGGATGGTCTGTACTATACGTTATAATTCAGTATCTGGTAAGCCTTTCCAAAGTATTGAGGCCACTTGCTTTCCCCAGGAATTCCTCCAGAGCCAAGGTTGATTCCGGAGACCAGACATACGTATACGACTCTAGCATAGAGTCATCATCACGATTTTGCTTGCTCATAGCTACTTGTATAGTCTACGGCTGTAACAAGTGAGTATTTGGGTTCTGCAAAGGGGACAACCCGTCAAGTAGAGTGAATGCAGTTAAACCTGAGTTGCCACAAACGCGACGACGCGTTCAGGCGCCTATGTCCGTATTCCCACGGTTCGTAAACAAGTTTGCGGCGGTGCTGGACTCCTTCAACTTGGCTCTTTGCTTCAAACATATAGTATACGGCTGCCCCGTTTGACGTACCTTTTTCCAAGAGACGACAGGCTTTGCCTCATGTAGTGGTCATTTCCTCGTCAGAAGATATCAGGCAACGGCCGTACGTCCTTCGTGCTGGCAGGGACTTGTTGCCGATGAGGTCTGAGCTTACGACGCATTCTGCGCTTTGCTCAGTGGTTTAATACGTCCCTGAATTGTCTATGGTGCAAGTGAATTATCTCAATACTCTCGAAGTTGGCAGTAGGGGCGGAAGCGCACGTCAATTGTGCATATTTTCAGTTTCGCCATCCACCTCTTTAGGTTTGCACTGAGCTTGTCATGCGGCATCATTGGTCTATTCAAAGCTGCTCAAGATAGTTTCAGCCTATCCCAATTCTACTCGGTGCTGTCCATGTCGAGCCTGTCTGACTGATGCCTCGCCTCCGGATTATGCTCTGAGGACGCTCCCGACACTCCCTTTCTCCTCGTCTCACTAGATCGCCGATTCATGAGACGATATGGACGGAGAAGGGTTTAGTATTGACTCGTCATTATCGGTTGATATTCCTAGACGTGGACTGTTCTCTGGCGGATACCCAGGTTCGACACCATGCCGCCATCTGATTCGAGACGATCTTCATTCATTTATCAGTTGGTCGCGATTGGGATTGTCTTCTTCCTCAAGCTTAACAAACTTGTGGACGTTCGATTCTTCTCTCCTCCTGTCACTGAAATCCAGTCCTTCTGAAGTTGCCATCGCGCCTTCCCTATCGCTGTCCTGCTGTTCGTCTCTGTCAGTAGACAACTCAACGCGAGATTCTTGACGGCAATACCTCGTCTTCGTTTCTGTACTATAGCATATACGCCCCTTGAGTATTTACATCTTCAGGATGACAGTCGTCTTCCGTTTGATTGTAAAGTTATTAATAAGATACATTATCTCAAGGCAAGATGGCCGAGCGGTCCAAGGCGTGTGACTCAAGCGAAAGCTTGCCTGTGATAAGCAGGTTTCTCATCCGTGTATGCGGGCGTGGGTTCGAATCCCACTCTTGTCATCTTTTGCATCCCTGTTCTCCAATAGATTTTCGAACAAACAAAGCAGCACGGAAAGTACAACCAGTCCAGAGTAACCTACAATGCCTATGTACCACAATGCCGGAGGTCAACCCCAGTCTTCGCGCGAGCAACGGGAGTTGTCGTGCATCCCAAACCACGTAGTATCAGTCGAGTCAATCAACCGATGGGATTACACGCCTATCGCATTTATCGGCGTCCGTGACCGTAAGGGAATGAGCAGCGATCGACAGTGGATTGTGGGTTCCCATTTGAAGTCTTAGTCGAACATAGAATCGCTCGTACTCGGAGACGGAAGCCGCGCCAGGTCGGAATCAACGAGGAAGGCCACGTCGTCCACAATTTCCTCAAGCTCCTCCTCATCAATCGCCGTCAACGCTGGTGACAATAATGAGAGCACTGTGGTCTCGTCTGCCTCGTCAAGGTCTTCATTCGAGGCTAGTTCGGTGTCGCGGGGGGTCGGATACGATTGGTATTCATCGGATGCCGGGGAACTAGGCTCTGCAGAACGATCCCTCTTGACAGGGGAGGCGTGCTCGACGGCACTAGAGAACCGATGACGCTCTGCGGTATGAGGCGTCCTGATAGGGGAGGCGTGCTCGGGGGCAGGCCGGTCGTGCTCCGAGATACGAGCTCTCTTGGCAGGGGAGGCTTCCTTCACTACCTCATCCTCACGGGAGTGTTTGCTTCCCCGAGGCGAGGTAGTCTTACTCGGAGGGAAGAACCTTATGGGTGGAGGATCAGCTTATCAATCGGTCAGGATTTTGGATGAGAACTTACACTTGTGGGATAGGCAGTCGTAAGGCGCCCATCGCAGCACTAGTCGCAGCAGCCATGACGTTGTCGGAGCCTCGAGCGGGCTCGAAACTAAAACGTCGGGGACTAGGAGATGGAGCACCACGGAAATGTAGTGGCTCGCCTGACGGCTGAGGCTCTGCAGGACCTTGGGGAGAGGAGCCGAGCAGGTCGAGAGCGGTCGGCCTTGCCCCCAATTTGGCGGAGGGCCTGTTACGAGCAAATCAGGATTCAAATCTCGAATACAAATCCATGCATACCGCGATTGCTGGCGGGGGGGCGGCCTCCCAATCCCCGGACTCGGGGATGGTGCACGACGGTCCCTGTCACCTTCATGGCCCTGGGTGTCCGCATCTGGCATGTCCCAGGTGCCCTTATGGAGTCCTAGGTAAGTGATCGCCGTTTCCATCCGCTGCCGTCGCACTCGAAGCGTCTGTGCCAGGTTTCGAAGGTCTTGCAGCCTCTTTCTGCTCTCCTCTAAGCGAGTACTGAGGAACCCTAGGGTCGCGGCCTGTGCAGCGTTGTCCTCAGCTACAGATCGGAGGCGAATGGTTGCCTCAATAAAGTGGGACCTCGTTGGTAGGGGTTCCTCCCGCGTCCCTATTCCGGGTGCAACGACGAGGGGGTTAGAGGTTGTGACTTTGTGGTTCACGTCTGGGATAACCAAGTCCGGAATTGCAACTACGTAAATGGGACAGAAATGGAAAAGAACGGCGCTGAGACTAACTTGGGACATTAGGACGTCGAGCCGGATTTGATGAGTGGCGTGGTCCACCGTTTGCCGGTTGAAGTTCCTCAAAATCAGGAAGACTGGGCGGCTTGACTGCCTGAACTCGTTGCTCATCACGGAGCCGGTGGTGCAAATCAGCAGAAGTAGTATTGAGGACTCTGAATGAGAGGTTCAGCGACCGATGCGAGAGAAACGTGCGAAAGAAACAGACGAACCGTCTCCTGGAGCTACCATGTTCTCCCATGCCGTTTATCCGCGGACCACGGTTCAAGATGACGGGAGCTTCGGCTGGGATGACGTCCATAGAGAAAAGAGAAGTGGTGGGTAGATCGAGGTGTGGTAAGTGGGTTGTGTGGGGCGTTGCTGTTCAAGAAGGAGGTCGGTTGAGTGCCACTGGTTCGAAAAAGGGCGCTTTGAGCCACTGATTCCGATTGAGACAAGTGGCTCGCGTCGGCTAGATCATATCGATTGTTATTATATAATGTCCTCGTGTCTCGTAACCTTTGTCCCCTCTGAGTAAGTACATGCAAATGATGGCGCTTCCTGGAGGGAGTCGGGTCTAATACTGTTTTCATCACTTTCTTTGCTATTAATATTGCCTCTGTGGGTCTGGAGTGCTGGAAAAATACACACAGGTACCTCACTGGAAATTAAGCACAGACAGTATTCAACGACGATTGTTTTCTGTGCTGAAGACTTGCATGGATCCTGCCATAGCCCTTGACCCTTGACTTCGGATCTGTTATTGACGTACCGGCGAGCATTGACAATAAACAGATATTGGCGAGTTTTGCTCAGATGTTGCGTCGCTGGGGCTCACATTCCATTTTGTGTAGAGAGATTTGTGAGCCAGGTTATTAGGAAGATCTTCTGTGCTATGAACATTGAGCGGTGCCGCCGGTGCTGCTCTGGCTGGATGCGAATCGCGAGGCCTGCCAGTGAGGCCTGAGGCCTGATGTGCCACGTGGGATGGATGTCCAGAAGCGCTTCAACGACGGTCCGGAACTTCAGGACTCGCAGCAGTCCATGGCCAACAGCACGGTAAACAGCAGTCTGTAAGACGGAAGCCTACGTTCTCACCGTGATCTATGTCTAATGCACTAGGAAGCTCTTGGATTTCTGATACGGCGTGGATCTTACCCTCGATATCGAACCTTAACCCGCAAATCTATCACTGTTTCCCGCCTCCATTGAGATCAGACTAAGCAGGATCAAGAAGGCACTGCCAATGCTCGTACGTCTCACGCAATTATGACTTATGTAGGGATCCAAACTCCTGGGCAGGTTTCAACCTTGTCTATTTGCGTCCTCAATTTGTAAACGAGGGGAAGGATACTGCAGCCTCCTCGCCCATCTTTCCCCTAGGGCGTAAGCCGAGACGCCATCTCCCTGCTTATTATTTTGGCATTCTGAAGGTGTGCTTTGAGCTGTGCTCCCACAGAGCGCACCATCTTGACATGCCTTCGGGAACTGCCTTTCACACAGCACTCCGGAGCTTGGTATCGCCCGTCTTGTTTAGATCCATCTTTTGACGCAAACTGTGCCTCCCTTGGATGCCATCGACCGCAGCCAGCGCTTGTTTAAGCAGACCATTTCTACCTACTTCAAGTGTGTCACGGTAGGACCCGATTCCAACACGTCTAGGCGTGCAGGAATACGGAGGGGCCCCAGTGGGGTCCCGTGAGTGCCCTAATCGTCGGTACGAACGTGATATCCTGCTAGTCCTACGGAAGGTGCGCTCCGTTCATGTCTGGAATGTAGGGAGACATTGGAGCAGCAGATAAACACGGCACTCGGTGCACACTGCCCTCCTGGCCAGTATCTAAGTTCAGATTTTATGATGGCTGGCTCAGAATACTTACATGGACTCTTACGTAAGATTCTTCAACTATGCCATAGCTCTTCCATCTCGCATCGCCTTATTGCGCTGCGAGTTGATGCTGGTTCGCTCGCGTGCTCTTTCGCAGAATTTCCTTTGAGTCGGGGAGCAGATAGGGTAATGTCGATCATGGAAATTACAATGCTACCCTGCCCCTGCTTGATCTGTTTGAATACAGCTACGCCCCATCCAATACTCTGTTCTTTTATTGGCGAAGGGAAGACATCCCTTCTCCGCCGAATCAATGGAAGGTGTCAGTCCCTTGTTTCTTTGTGTGCTAGCGCTCTCGTGGCAGTAGCCAGCAGTACCCAGGCTTATTGGCCCATCTCCCGTGTGGGCACTGTATACGCCGATCATCATTCTTGGATGTAAGTGGCTGTTCTGGAGTGTTTCGCTCTCACTGAACCATGTATACTTATAACGTCAGTCTGCTAAGACAATCAATCAAGGCATCACTACGGTGTTATTACCCTGGTAAGTCAGCTCCCTCCCTCGTCTGCGCCGATTGCCCAGGTAAGAGAGCGCCCTTCGCTTGATCGACATGATGCACTGTGCCGTATCTTGAGCACTGATGACTCTCGCAAACCCTTCAGCTCGCTAAAAGCGTCATGCCAGATTCTCATCACGCAGATGGCGAGCACTTCGCGGTATGCGCTCTGTTTTCTGTTGTGTCTCGGCATCGAATTGGCACGCTCAAGCATGCTCCTGGGATATGTGAACGTTGTGGCTCCTGGTGGAGAACCCGGACTTAGAGCCAACTTGCGTGTCCGAACTTGAGCTCCGCACTATACCTGCTCCCAGAAATAGCCTTGAGGGATTTACTGCATCACACTAGGGTGCCGATGGTGGCTGTCGTTTTCCTGAGATAGCGATGCAGTGCATTTAACATGGCGTCTATCAGGAGGTCCTATTCTTGAAAGTGTCTATTAAGTAGGTTCGAAGTTCTGGGATCTGCCCGACACAATAGACTGATGGTCTCCTCCGCTTCCTGTTCCCCTTCACAAAAAAAATGTTCTCCTTTTTCGCAGATCACAGGGACTCTGTCTCCAGCCACCGTTCGCCACTACTCCGGAGATCTTTCTCCGGCCTGGACGACTCTCTTGGCGTAGAGGAATCGAGCAATGATCTTATACACTCACAATATGAACTTTCGCTATCATCATGGGACAGCAACTCTACGATGTCCAGCCGACCTGGACTAGGTCGCACCTTGGATCGACCTCTGCGCAAAGCAGGGGACGCCGTCGTCGCTATGATCAGTCGGATGTGCGAAGATATGGGCAGAGGGCCGAACGCTCTAATGGCTCGTATGCTGACCTCCGGGGAATGGGGCGCTCATCGTTGTCATAGCCTCTTTTGCCGCGTTTACCAGGATTCCCTTGGCCCGGCTGTGTTGTGGTCTTGTCCATCTATCGAAAAGATCCTCGACATCCTGTTTTCTCCGTATTGCCAGAAATGTCGGGAGTGCTATGCGCTGTCTCTCGTGCGAGACGAGATTTTTACAGAAGGGTGCCGTAAACTCGTTCAAGGTATCCGGTATGTAATTATCCGCCCCTATCATGGCAGAAGTTGATCCACCGTCCACAGGGGAAGTAACCAGTCGATTCAACGCCTATGTGCACATTACGTTTGTGCCCTCTCTCATTTCCATCCGTCATTTCGGCAGCAGCTCCTGCGATCTGGAGCTCAGGAAGCGCTGGAGGAACTATGTACAGCTGCCATACTATGGCGAGAGGACCTTCTAGCACGCCCCGCCACCAACGCGCTTGATAGCCTGAGTAAGACCTTGCTTTTACCTGTGATCAAAGACTTCAGCGCGAGCAAACTTAGAGTCGATGAATATTATCCTTGTCCGCTTTCTGAGGGCGATCTCTCATCCATGGAGCCTAAAACTTGGGAATGCGTCACAGAACTATTGTATTACCTCTCGTAAGCTCGGAGCATATACCATTTCTGCGAATACTGATTATGAGACGCATGACACAGACATCGAAGAACTCAAATACCAGCCGCATATCATTTATCACTAGCACTCGTTCTATCTTATCACAGTCTCACCCAAATGATTGCACCCCTGGCTAAAGCACTCGATGCAGAGGTGGTGGAATGGTTGTGGTCCGAACTGCTGTCGTCTCGTGATCCCGTTGCACGGGGGGTTCTAGGACGGTTGATTTGCAACTTGTATGACTTCTTGTCATATGCTGCTTTCACAAATAGATGGGATACGGAGAGCGGTGTCCAGGCTGGTGTATGGCTTTGGACAAATCTGTGGATTCCCTTTTTCCGTCTTGCGTGGGTGCGTTTCCTGGTTTGCGGAAACTGAAAATACTGAATATCTTGGATAGAACTACTCTGTCCCACTCGGCGCCTTCCCACAAGCAGGTAGTTACCCGGATCTGCAAAGTCTTTTTCAGATGGTCGCGCACTGCGTCATCCATAAGTTACGAGGCGCGGAGTCAAATCCTGGATTTTTCAGAACGATTTTGCCGTAGTGCACCTAATACGAAACCTCAACTATTACGCAAGGACCCCATCGAATGTCTTGGTCAAAAGATAGCCTCGCCACTGTTCTTCGTAGCCGCCATCCTCGAGAAAGAGCGACGTGTATCCGGGAATCTGAACCTGCATGCCATCGACCGAGCGGTGCCTAGAGGTGTCCTCCAGGAAACAAGCAAGCAGATAGCGCAGATATTGTTGAGGTAAAGTCTCTAGCATTGTGTTGTCACACTCTAAGTAATCCGGTTGCGTTTGACCTTAGCTGCAATAATCCTGCGAACGACATCGCGTTCCTGAATCCAGTGTTGAAGTCCGCAGTGCCTTGGTACGATACTGTCTGTAGATTTGAGGTCCGAAGAGCCCTGAAGGGATATCTGTCGCACACCAACCCCTTACTGAGGCGAAATGCGAAACTCGCGAGGGCCCTACTGAATATCGACGTCACATGCTATGAACTTCGCTGCAGTGGAATCGTTGTGGGGGTCCTTGAAGGGGGACCGCCTCATGGACTATGCGTAAGCAGGTTCTGAGCGGCCCTTTCTGCGTGGTCCTAACACGGTTCGTCAGGTGTTGGACGAGCACGAGGGTCTGCCTTATCGACCGGATCAAAACTATAGGGATGAGTTCCCTGTAAGACGTCTGGTGGCCAGCAGTATCTGGCGCGATATTCGTTGGGTACCGTGCGCGGAGATCGACCTACGTTCATCGTTCTACGAGCCGCTCACAATTGTCTTCCATGGCGAGGCATATCACATCGTTTGTAAACGTGACACGTCCCTTCGCACCCCGCATCTCGGCCTTCTTCCCTTGACGTCGCAGCCCGCAGCCATCAGCCACGATGCCGCCGATGTGGGGAGTTTGCACATTTTGTGCGCAGTAGTCACGGGGCCGCCAGGCTCTTGTCCGGTGTTCTGGCAGGTTGGGTACGTCTCCGCGTCATCGCAAGAAAATGTGATATCGATTGACGAATCGAAATTTTATGCCCGCCCAATGGCATCTAGATCAGGATTAGTTCATGCTCTAACGGGAGAGACCTTCTCTCATACGCAAATGAAGGCCAACATCTTCCGTCGCTGTCTCTGCCATCGATTATGGCTGAAGTCCGGTTGAGCCTGTAAACCTTACCTTCCGGGGGGCAACTCCCGCAAATCGCAAGGGGGAAAATGCATGCAGTATGAATGAAGCAGGGCAAATTATGTTAACAGTGACTATCAGGGGTGAACTAGGGTTCTCGTTGTCCAAAGGATAGATGTAATATATCGCATAGCTGGAACTAAGCGATTTCTTGGAACTGGAGTAAACATACCTGATCCTTAGGTCGTGAAGCTATGATTTGGTCCGATATTTCCATGCTCGCAGTCATATCAGGGGAAAGTGTCGTCCTGTAAGTGCAATACACCTCTTTCAGCAGAATCTTCATCTCCATTAGAGCCAAGCTAAGTCGGAAGAACCAGACTAGTCAGTTTGGTACGCACTGATAGGAAGGCAACATACTTCCTCCCTATGCAGCCTCGCCCGCCAGACGCGAAAGCAAAGAAGAGCTTGTTCCTCTCCTCCCGGCGATCCTGTTCCAGCCACCTCTCCGGAATGAATTCGCCCGGCCGAGGAAACACTTCCGTATCAAGCTGATGCAGCGTGAACGCCTGACAGCTTACTGTAGTCCAGGCAGGGAGGAAGTATCCTTCAAGCACGCGCCCTCCATCCGGCACGCGCCGCGGCAGTGACATTGGGATCGGACTGTAACACCTGAGTCCCTCCTTTACAACCGCTTCCAAGTAGGGCAGCTCGTCGACGGGGGTTGCGGGGTTCCTCAGCAACTCTGCGCGCAACTTATCCTGGATCGCACCGGATTCCGGACGCGAGAGCTGCCACAATAGGAAGCAAAGCCCGTCGCCTGTCGTGTCTATCCCAGCAACGAGATGGTCCATACACTCCGATGCCATCTCGAGGATCGGGACGGTGTCCTTTCTCGCCTGTAGCTTGGAAAGAACCGTATGGTCAGCCACAGCGGCGGCCTTTGCTGTAGTACAGTTCTCGAGCACATATGCGGAGGCCCTGTCAGGCTTCTTGGTCGCTCTGAAAGGATTCGCAAGGTTCGAGAGTAGACTGTGTAAGCGAGGGTAGCGATGCTGGATAACCCGAGCTACCACAACGAAGAGTTCAGCCTAGATAACCGAGACAAGTTCGAGGGACGGACATTTGAGACTATCATGATAGGACAGTTCTTGCATCATCTTCAGATCCTCGTCATCTTCGACCGCATGCGTTCCAAACGGATGGAATAAATGGTGTGTTATGCCGTCGAGAGCATAGCAGTGCAGAGGCACCTGGGGTAACTTGTTAGCCCGATCCAATGCGGTTCAGTGATTACGACACACGTAGACGTTAACGCATTTCTGGGCCGCGCATTCTTGTAGTACTTTCTTCACGAACATCCGGGCGCGTTCCTCGATGCCAGACAACACCCCTGACTGCATCACGTATTTTTTTGCATATCGATCTGCCATTCTACGCTTCCGCTCGCTGTGCTGTCATATCGATGAATTCAGAATGAGTAAGTGCGCGTTCCGTAGATCATTACCTCACTCTTCGTCAGCGTCGAGAACATGTTCCTGGAGTTCGCGGTAGCTGAGACTTCGGGACACGGTTATGCTTAGGCAGCTGCTACATACCTTGCACCAAAATTCATGAACAGATCGTAGAACTCGGTCTTTTCAAATCCACTTCCTCCGACAGAGTAGATCTGCTTGGCAGCTTCGCCTGTCGCGAACGATACCTCGTCCGGCGCAATACGCACAACGGGTCCATATCGCTTGTGCAACTCATGAACATATAATCTTCTCCTGCGCGTAAGTTCTTGGTACAACAGCCATCCACCGGTGAAGCGGGTGATGACTGGCCCGGGGATCTTGGCCAGAGGCGATAAGAATACACGATAACAAACAACGTAGATCAGACAGAGCAGGGCAACGATGCCCAGGTAATATGCCACTGACATATTACTTCAGCCCACAGCTTTCATGAGAGGTAGAAGCTGTAAGATAGGCGTTCGTCCAGTCCTTATATCAGCCACCGGCATAGGGGATACCATCTCAAAGTTTGATAACAACGAGGAAGATACGGACTCCGATGTTTCGAAGTCCGGTGACTCTGGATTTCTAGGCATTCCGCACCCCCAAGGTCCACACTCTGTGCATCAAAAGACGTTTGCGACAGCATTGAGAGTTGAAATTGAAACTGCGTACTGCATAGTATGGCAGCAAGTATTTCCCCGCCAGCTTCCCCGCTGCTACAGTATAAATATTTACGAAATATTTACCGGAGGTTTGTCTAAGTATACAATTACATAATTATGGGGCACTTGCGGTCCTCGGGCTTGACCGCCACTTGTGACTCTACGACTTGCTTCAACTTATGGCTTTTGGTCTTACAATCGGTACAGAGCGCGCTACTGCTCTTCAGGTAACGTCTGTTTAACGATGGGTCAAGGGCTTGGCTAACAATATTCACAGAATTCCATCCAAGGTGAGCTCACGAAACGAGGGTTTAGCGCCGATGCAGGTGAGAGGAAAGGTACTCGAGTCGATGTTTCGACGCTAAAGCCCTTTCCTCAGACCCGGTTATGGCGGAATACATTACCATTATGATTATAAATAACAAGACGCCAGGTGAGTGCAGCATAGGTGGACCACTCGGGCAGCTATGAACACGTCGTCGCAGAACAAATTTCGTCCGAATTGGAGGATTGTGAGTGTATATTTCTACTATCAATGGCATTAACTGAACACCTTTCCAGTGATAGGATCCGACTTTGGTGAGAGTCGAGCATTGTCGAGCGTCACCGTCAGCTAACCGCCCTGAAGACCGCAGCTTTACCGACTGGCTGTTCGCCGAAGCTGCGAAAGGCGCGCCCGAGCCCGAAGGTTCCCCAGCGACGCAAGTCCCAGCCATCCCTGTTCCTGCCCCTGCCACAGCCTCCTCGGAGCCATCGTCCAACCGCGAAGCCCCTCCACACCTTCCCAGCGACCCATCACGCCGACCACCAAACGGCCCGCGGCAGGGCGCCCCACCACTCTACCAACAAGCGTTGTCCCAAATCTCCCCAGGACAGAAGCGCACAGCGTCCGCACGTTCCCCTTCGCCGCCTGGGTTCCAACCGAACAAGTCGCGCCGCACGGAACCGCCCTCAGGACCCCGCGCGATGGCGCAGGGCCAGGGCCCACGGAGCCTGCTCGAGCGAATGGGGGGCCGCGCCAACCGCGCCGCCAACGGCCGTATGAACGACGAGATCCAGGCGCGCATTGACAACATCACCGCGCGCTCGCCTGAGCCGAACGTGATAATGGGCGGTGCGCCGGGGGCGTTCCCAGGCGGGATGGACATGAACGCGGTAATGGCGATGGGCAACCCGCTGATGCTCCAGGAGATGATGATGAACCAGATGGCGCTCATGACGCAGATGGCAGGCGCCATGGGCATCCTCAACCCCAACCCAGCGCAGTTCATGAACGGCGCGTTCCCGCCGGGGATGACGCCGGAGATGTTCGCGCAGATGCAGGGGATGCAGCAGCAGATGGGAAACATGGGGAATGGCCAGGCGCAGCGGGGTGGTCGGCCGACGCGAGGGCGAGGCGGAAAGAGGGGAGGCTTTGCGGGGCCTGTAGATGGTGCCGCGTCGGAAGGTGCTGCCCCTGCCCCTGCCCCTGCTATCGTTGCCCCTACGCCACAGACTGCTGTTCCTGCCGTTGCAGCACCGGTGGTCGCGCCCGTGCCGGTTCCTTCGACGTCAGTGACATATACATCTTCGAGAGCTGGATTTGTAGTGCCTGAGCGCCCGCAGTCGCCTACTCTCTGCAAATTTGCATTGAAGTGCACGAATCCGTTGTGCAGATACTCGCATCCTTCACCTGTGGCGACGCCCGAGAGCGGTGTTGTGCTTAGCAATGAAGCCTGTGAAGCCGGGAAGAACTGCAAGGATAAGGATTGCATCAAGGCACATGTCAGTCCTGCTACCCTGACTGGTGAGTCGCAAGCGCACATATCTCTACGTCTCTAAGGTCACTTCCAAATAGCTGCAGACACTATTAATCCCAAACCCCGCCCGTACGTCCACCCCACACGACCGGGCCCGGACAAGGGCCACTTCGCACAACCATGCCGCTTCGGCGCCGGCTGCACGCGCGCAACGTGTCCCTTCCAGCACCCGGAAGGCCGCGTGCTCCCGAATTCGTTCCACAAAGGCCTGTCCTCGTCGGCGCCGGTGATTAATGTCCACACGCCGGAGACGGGTTCGATAGGCGGCCCCAGCCCACACAGAAGCGTCACGTTTAACAAAGGCAACACTGCGGAGGAATTGGAGAAGAGGATGAAGGAGTTGGAGGAGAGGAAAAGCCAGGCGGAGGCAGCGGTGAAACGAGCTGAGGCTGCCGCTGCGAGCAAAAAAGACGAGAATAAGCCTGTGCCTGTTGCTTCGTGAGACGTCTTCTTGTATTCCATCTGCCTGCCCTCCAAGCGTCTGTTGCCCAATGTCACTGTAATTTACATATCTCGTCTGTAGTCTCTTCGGACTGTCTACCAGCGACCATCAGTTGTGGCTTTTATCCGTAGCTCGTGTCTTTTACTCGTCCCCCTCGTCTATTGCTAGCAGAAATAGTTGGGAATTGTAATAAAGCGAAACAAGGTCTGCTCACAATCACCCTCTACCTCTTCAATTGTGCGAAAGATTGTTCTCTATCCTACACCAAATTAATACCAGCATCGACCTGTTATATCGTGTTTACAAGTCTATAGATCTACGTATACCCTTGCGAAGTGAACGTTCCCGGCGCAGAGCTGACCCGCCCTACTTCCGCCACCTTACCCGGGTTACCCCCGTCGTCGTCGTCGTCGTCGCGCTCGTTGCTCTCACCTGGCTCGTCATCGTCTCGGACGTTCTAGATAAGATAAACACGTGTCGGTGCTGTGCGATATTCTCGCGCGACGTGGCGGATACGGCACGCTGGACGCGTCCTAAACTGCCGTTCCATGCTTAGGTTTCCTGGACGTTCGTGACGGTCATTATGCCTTGTGGAACTGGGAGAATGTCGAAGAGGGTAAGCTGGATGGCCCTGGGCATCGTCGCGCTCGCTGTGATGTCCGTCATGGGGGCGGCGCAGACGCCGAGCATGCCCCAGACGGCGGGGTCGGAGGTGCGTCAGTCATTCCCATAGCAGTGCTAATTGACCAAGGAGAATTGGTAGGCGTCGACTCTGTCTACGTCTTCTGAGGAAAAGTCAAATCGGGGCCTCAATAAGCAACCCGAATACGAAGATGATCAAGCGGCAGAAGGTGTGTGCGTCCGAGTACTTAGTAGTGGCGCCTCTAACGCTCGAGCTGCAGCCGGCAAGGCATACAAGCAAGCATTAGCGACGCTCGCCACCCTCACCGCTCTCCCGCCGTCTTACTCGCAAGATTCATCTTTCAACCCGATGAACGGCAACGGAAAGTCTCCCTTTGTGCCCAACGTCCAAGGACAGGGTCCGCTCGCCAGCACTCTCCGAATACTGATAAAGCTGCGGCATCAGTCATGGGTGCCAAAGTTCCTTCGATCGCGTGCGGGCAAAGAGGGGCTCGGCCTGGGGGGCAGAAGGCGGGAAGATGACTTGCGGGGGAAGGCTATCAAAGTGGTGGACCTGCTGCAGCACTCGGCGGAACTTGGAAACATGGATGCTCTATACACGCTAGCTCAGATATCGCTGGTATGTTTTCACTCTGTACAAGTCTATGTGATATTCATGCACCTCGCCAGTTCCCTCCAGCTGAATACTTCTCGCAAGATGCGAAACTCGCCTACGAATCCTTCACCAAGCACGCGTCGTCAACAGGCAACTCTTCGTCGCAAGCGCACATCGCGTTCTTTCACAGCACGGGCTACGAGGGTGTCGTGCCCGTCGATCAAGCGTCCGCACAGCTGTATTACACCTTTGCTGCTCACGGCAAGGATCGAGGCGCGCAGATGGCGTTGGGGTACCGCTACTGGTCCGGGATTGGCACACTCGAGGACTGCGGGAGAGCGGTGGAATGGTACGAAGCGGCTGCGGAACAGGGTAAGGGCGCACCGGTCTATGGTAAAAGAATATGCTGACCCTGCTCCAGCGATGGAGAAGTTCAGGGCAGGCCCGCCCGGAGGCCGGACGCTTCCTTTGACCAACACTCGCCTTTCCGACTTGGTCGGAGGGGTGTTTGGTCCGGGCGCAAGTGTGGCTTCGACGGGGCTCAACGCGCAGCGGCCCGCCATTCGCGCGGCCAACGCGCGTGCGGCGGGCGAGACGTGGGAAGACGTGCTGGAGTACTACATCGTAAGTCCCTCCTAGCAGCAGATGCCTCGAGCGCTCACCAAGTACTCCCATAGTTCAACGCCGACCGCGGCGAGACGGACTTTGCGTACCGCTTAGGCAAGATATTCTACCAGGGCAGCCTGTACGCGTCCTTCGGCGGGATCGCGTCGGGCAGCGAGGGTGTCGGTGCGGTGCCGCGTGACTTTGCCCGCGCCCGGTACTACTTCCTCCGCATCGCGCGCCAGGTGTGGCCGCGGGACCCGGCGAACCCGGGCCAGTCGACGGCGGGCAGCAGAGACAGAGACGACGATGGCGGACCAGTCGGGTACGCAGCCGCTGCTGCGGCGTATCTCGGGCGGATGTTCCTGCGTGGCGAGGGCGTTAAGGCGGATCCGGCCATCGCGAAGATGTGGTTCGAGCGCGGCGCGGAGTACGGCGACAAGGAGTGTCACAATGGCCTTGGGATTATCTTGAGAGATGGCCTTGTGGACGGGCGGAGGGATATCAAGCAAGCTCTGGTGCACTTCGCCGCCGCCGCGGACCAGGACCTCGCCGAAGCGCATGTGAATCTGGGCAAGTACTACTATTGTGAGTAGCACATTCCGTTCGTCCTCTGGATCGTGAGCGTCTCTGAGTACGGTTGAGGTCGGAATAGATAGGGGAGACTACAAAATGGCCCAAGCGTCCTTCGAGGCAGCGCTCCGCAACGGGTCGCCGTTCGAGGCGTACTATTACTTGGCTACTATCCACTCGGCCAGTATAAAGAATCCGGCCGTGCCCCCGGCTATGGCGACTGGGTCTTGCGCTATCGCTGTCTCGTTCTATAAGCTGGTGGCGGAGCGGGGCTCTTGGGAAGATGATTTCGTCAAGCAAGCGGAGGTCGCGTGGAATCAGGGTACGGAGCTTGGCCGACAGACCGCCATACTGAAGTGGTGGATGGCTGCAGAGAGAGGGTCGGAGATTGCGCAAAACAATCTCGCCTTCGTGCTGGATCAAGGTGATATCCTTTGAATCGTGAACTCTGCCACGGCCTTACTTATTCGCTCTGTGCTTCCACAGATAAATCAATGCTCAGGTTCACGAGATTCGCACCATCGATGCCGTCCAATGATACAGCTCGACTAGCCCTGACGCAGTGGATCCGTTCCGCTGCGCAGCACAATGTCGACGCGCTGGTGAAGGTGGGGGATTATTACTACCATGGTTTGGGCGTCCCAGAAGAAGAGCAGTCCTTGCGGTACGAGAAAGCGGCCGGCTACTACCAGTCAGCTGCGCAGACTCATTTGAGTGCCCTCGCTATGTGGAATCTTGGATGGATGTATGAAAATGGCATTGGGGTCCCCCAAGTAAGTACCGGAATGGCTCCCTCGAATAACTGTTGATGTTTTCGCTGTAGGACTTCCATCTAGCCAAGAGACACTATGACCTCGCTGCACAGACAAATAGCGAAGCATACCTTCCTGTGCTCTTGTCGCTAATCAAATTGTACGCGCGAAGCTTCCTGCATACTCTCGGAGGTGGTAAAGGCGGACTACGATTATTATCATACGATGAACTAGGTATGTAACGGGCTCTAATTAGTCGTTCACTATCTCACTGTGGATGATCAGAGGCTGTGCCAGAATACGAAGGACAGGATAGTCGCAAGATTTCAGATGCGCAGCAGGCATCTCCCCAGGATGAAACTGTCGGGACGGCCCAAGATCCTATTGTCGAGGATGTGGAGGAGGATGAACCGTGGTACTATGGCAAGGCCCGAGATCAATTTAACCGCAGAAAACAAAATCGGGAAGGCCGAGATGGAAAAGACATAGAGGACCCAGTCCAGGTATGAAATCTATCTGGTATGTATTTCGCCGCGTCTGACACACGACGCAGTGGGCAAGAGACCGAAGAAATGCCGAGAACGAGCGAGACGGTGATCTTGGTCCTGAGGATTACTTTGACGCCTCATTGCGGGGCGGCCGTCGGGAGGATGACGAGGAAGAAGACGAGGTCGTGGAGACCTTGCTCCTCGTTTCGCTCTGCGTCGCAGTGTCAGTACTGCTTTATGTGCGAGGCCGCTGGGCAGAGAGATTGCGACGAGAGCAAGAAGAGCGACAGCAGGGGGGCGGAAACAACGGACAAGCACCCGCCCAACCGAACCAGGGACTCTTTCCTCCTCCAGGGGATGCTGCCCGAGATGACTGGGCAGTTTTGCGGTAGCATTGTGATTCCGCATGTATTATTTTTACCTGTAGATTTCATAAATTGTCAAATTGCATCTTCGGGAAGCCAGAGTAAACCCGAGCCACAACTCTGCCACCGTCTGATTGACTTTGTTTGGTTCTGGCGCGATTTGCGGGAGAACGTGACCCGCCACATACGCGCCATTGATCCTCTCGTAAGTCCTGTAAAGTGACTTTCTTGCTTTTCGTCGGACAGCCGTCTGAGCACCTGCGTTCTCTGCTGTTTTGGGGCTGGTTGACGCAGAAATGGACGTGCAAGCACTCGAACCGCGCATTCGTGAGATTCTGACGGCTCCTGGCGTCGACCTGGGTACGATCAGCGCCAAACGCGTCCGAAAACAACTGCTGGAACAGGATCCCAATCTGACGGTCGAACAATTGAAGGAAAACAAGGACGAGGTGGATGCGCTGATTGGTCGCATTTATGAAGAAGTGAGCGGACCTCGGGAGCAAGGCGGCGCTGACGACGAGGAAGAGGGGTCGTCAAATGGTAAGAGGAAACAGGAAGAGGAAGAGGGGGCCGCGGACGAGGACGACGACGGAAACGACGAGACCGACGAGGAGACGTCGCGACCCAAGAAGAAGACGAAGATGAGCAAGGAGGAACGCGATGATGCAGAGCTCGCAAGACAATTGTCGAATGAGCTTAATGGCCGCTCCCGAAGCTCGAGGACAGGCAAGGCTAGTGGTCCGAAGAAGCCACGTAAGAGCAAGAAGAGCGCAGCTACGGTGGACTCCGACGACAGCGAAGGCGGGACGAAGAAAAAGAGGGGCGGTGGTGGTGCGAAGGGAGGGTTTGCAAAGGAGTATGCTCTGAGGTACACGCTCGTTCGTTCCCCACCCTAGGAAACAGTATTAACGAGCACCACTACTCGCATAGTGAACCTCTGGCAGCTGTAGTGGATGCCGAGAAAATGTCGCGGCCGCAGCTGGTCAAGCAATTGTGGGTGTATATCAAGGCGAACGACCTCCAGAACCCACAGAACAAGAAAGAAATCATGTGCGACGACAAGCTGCGAGCCGTGTTCAACACGGATAAAATCGACATGTTCAAGATGAACAAGGCTATTGGCCAGTACGTCCCATGACCAAACGCTCATCATCAGAGATTATACTTACTCGTCATCTCACGAAGACATTTGCATGAGCCCTAGCGAGATCCGACCATACATTGGTGCATGAAGTTCATTGTCCCTCCACAGGGGCTTACTTTATTATGTTCCTTTATTTCTAAACGGATCGGTTGCCGGATCATTGTACACTGCCATGTTTCAGCAGTCGTCCATCATCAATAGTGCATCATTTATCGTAAGTGTCTGCAGTAATCACTTTGACAGGCATACGCCTGCTTTGCCTATTCCTTGCATCTGCTCCTGGGTAGAATTGGCGCCAAGGGTTGTGGCGTAATGGGGCTGCACTGCTGGCTGCACTCGAAAGCTATTATACCGACGACAGAATAACAGGCCGCTATCGGTATTCGTTCTGCATGCCGATCGCGCCGTTACGCAATGCTATGACCAGGATTCCTTGGGGACATATGAGCGGTAGGCCCACTGCAAACCAGCATACAGCCGGAACTGAAGTTATCAACGATCCAACCAGTCCAGAAAGCGCTGAGCGTTCCGTATAACATTGTTCTTATCGTTGATCATTGTGAAATGCGTCACCTGCTCAGGTTCGTGAAGAGTGAAAGATATCGCCATGCCACGAATATCTTCGCGCGAGGCACGACACCCAATCGAAACAGTCCCTCGTAGGTACAACCAGAGTGTTTCATGATCAGGATATGTCTGCACTAGTGTTTGTGCGTGGGTGGAGAGGGATTCAACTGCCTCGAGGATTGGTTCCGCAGCTGAGCTAGATCCGAGGTGCGGGATCTGGCGAATGTGCTGCGAAAGGCTCATAAGGTAGTGGACCGCTGAGTAATCTGCGACGTGCGTCTCCAGCCATCGACGGGCCCAGGTGAACTCGTCTAAGATGAAAAACATCTTATAGGCGTCTGCGTCTGCCACCTCTGCGTCGCGGGGAAGCAGAGCCTGCATGCAAAGCAAACGATGGAGCCACGCGAAGTAGTTCCTTGGATAGATGTCGCAAGCTCTGGAGGCGATGGATAGCTCAGTACGCAATACATCCAGAGGGGGGCAAGCGCCATCTAGAGACATAGAGTCCGCAGAACCGACACCGGGTTCATGCATATCGGCGCTGCCGGTGCTTTGGACGCGTAAGCTTTCTTGAATTTGTGCCCCGCCAGTACTCACCGGTATTGCATTTGGTTTATGAGCCATCTTCGGTAGCACCACAGCATAGACTGTTTAGAGGTTTCCCGAATAGAAAGCAGAGCCTCTAAAAAATCCAGTTCCTTCCGTGGCTCTAGAGACCCTGCTTGAACCAGCGACTTCCTGCGTTTCAAGGCCGTCTGGTGGGCGGGGTTGGCTAACAGAAGGACGTTTGTTATACCGACCAGTTCAGTAGGCACTGTCTGGCGAGAGTGTGCTGTTGCATTCCCTATGGCAGCCATTTCACGGATGGCGACCAAGTACGACTGGTATAGCATCCTCTGAGGGACTCCCAAGTTTTCGTCCTGGTATAAAAACGGGCCATAAGCAGAGAAGAACGGCTGCCACTCGTTGCCATGACCAGGCAGAATTTCTATGGATTTTCTGAGGGCAAAAGGGGAATCTCGTCAACTTGCACACCTGACTAGCAGAATGATCACTAGCAAGCGTACAGCGGTAAACTTAGGACCTCAGCCAGCTGTCTGAACGACATTAACGCTTTGTCCATCGGTACTGATGATTGTGAACCTCCTTGCTCGCCACGAACGGTGGGATGAAAGCTAGAAGCACGACTGCGTTCCCTCCGAGTGGGGAGTCAGCGGATCAACAGTAGAGCGGAGCACTCGGGTCAGGGTTTCCTTTCTGCTGCTGACATTCCTAAATATCATAGGAACGCGGGGCAGGTACACAGGGCAATTTATATCTTAATCTCAAGTAGCAGTCTACGCGACCAGTCCATTGCTATAACCGCAGGGTTGGACTCATCTACTTTCCACGTGGATAATAACGTAGAAAGACCTTGGGGATGAGGCCCTAGACGTTGCAGAATAATGGGCCCATTACACTAGACGACAGGCCATGCCGAAATATGGCTACCACGGAACTTGAGAAACAGTATGATCTCCCCTATCTGCGGGATTCTGGTGGTACGAAGACATTGTCTCGATAATACCGTAGCTCTGGGGACCAACAGATGAGGTTAACAGAGCTAACTAAAATATCTGCTTTTACCTTTAATGGATCCCTTGATATCGTCAAGAGCCCTGTAAATATTGGTAGAACATTATCAATCTCGAACATCTATCACTCAACTTCGACATACCGATGCTTGCTCTGAATGTGGAGGTCCGGACGGGGCAGGGAGGGATACCATCTGCGGCACAGCTCCTGAGGAAAGGTGAGGAAGGTCATCAGTCTGTACGCTTCCCGTAACACACCTTGATGGAGGACACATCTACATAAGCACGGATCAACGCCTTGGCTCAACGCAGTAATTCAGTGCGACTCACCGACAATGCTAAATGTGCGAACAAGGGTCAGCAAGGGAATAGCATGTTATATAATGAGTAAACGTTGACCGGTAGTGCAGATAGTCAACGACTTCGGGCATTTCTTCAAGGAGAAAGGCCCTATCTGCGTGTACGGAGTTGCCTGCTAATACCGCGGTCCTCGGCTCGGGTACCCATCTTTTGATGTATTCAAGGACCCGCCCGGCGACAAAATCAATCGAGTTGGGTGAGTTCAGACTTGCTTGTGTCAGACCCGACTAGCCCATCCATCGAGTCAGCATATGAAGAATGACAATGCATTGTTTATCGAGAAGACATGCCAATCCATGTTGTTTTGTACACCACTCGTCCATTCTACTCCATTCATGAATCTTGCTGTGTCGAACTCAGAAGACTCAGAAAATCCGCACTTGTTGAGAATGCTCTCGTCCACCCGGACCACGTATTCCAGTCCTTCGTCGATTATCTCCAGGTCGCCATTCGTGATGAGAACCTTAAGAGCATAAGGTCGAGCATAAGGTGTCGCCGAGATAGAGCAATCATACAGCAATTTCCATTATTTTGTCTCGCTTGTAATTCAAGCCAGTCATTTCGCAGTCAATCCAAACCAGCGGATCTGAAGGTAAAGTCCGATTCATTTTCTTGGCCACTCTTGTTAATCTAGACAGTGTTGAGTACGAGGTACCGCGGCATGCACCCCTGTATAACGCAGGCAAAGCTCTGAACATAGACAGAAGAAAAGGTAGTGTCCGTCTTATACCTCTGCCTGTCCGACTCACGTAGGCAGGTGCGCAAATAACGCCAAATATTCGATGTGGCGGGGCGGACAAGAAGCACTGGCCTCTCAGGAACGTAAATACGGTAAAAGGTCGGATGAGTTTATAAAGGCTATACATCTATGTCTATGTCTACAACGTAGCCTGACGTCGAATAAATTATGCCGAATCACTAGGATTCCACATCTGAATCTACGTTGGCAGTTAACGAGACTGACTGGATCAGAAATCCCACAGGGTTCCCTAACAGAAATGGGAATGAGCGACCCCGCCAACCATTTCATGAGGAGGGGAACTCACGAATGCAGGTATGCCTGCCTCCTTACATCCTTCCATAATCTCTTGGTTACCTTGATAGTTCGACGTTATGAAGACTACCTCCGCATTCCATGCTGCATAGGCTTCCTTGACGAGCTTCATCACGTCCGGCCTCCCCCCTACGTGACAGTTAGGCAGCGAACCTGTTGGCAGTGTGTTACATTCACGTACCTCGCTGCTTGGAGTCCCACAGGCAGTACCGCTCAGGTCCAATATGTCGGTGAATCAAACCCGAGATAGTCGGACCGAACGTCTTTTCCTGGTCGGATCCGATCCAGATGAGGTACCTGATAGATGGCCGAGGTATATCATTCTCATGCATCACGCTTACGGTGTTGTATGTGCTCACCAGTTCGGGCTCTGGAGGACCGTCGAGAAAGGTGAGATGATACACCTCAAGTTTCTGACTGCGTGACATACCTGTATACATGTGGAGAGGGCAGCCCCGAGTCCAGTTCCTGTGCATACGCGTATACCGCTACAGAACTTCTATTCAGCACACGTGTACTTCCTGCATGAGGATATGTACTCACCGTTTGTACAGCGTCGACGTGTTCGAGACACCGGCGAACTAAGGACACCGAGATCAGGGAGAAAGCCGGACAGTATTTCCAAAGTACTGACCTTCAATTGACGAGTCCAGATGTGCGTAGGCGGGTCATTGACGAGGCTCTTGGTGAAATCACCCTGGACACCGCAGATGAGGTAGTGGTATTTGGCGTGCGTGCCTTCACTATAACGGCCTGGATGAGTGGAAACTAACGACTACTTGATATTGACGTACGAGATGATACCAAACGCGTGGTATTCCATAACCGCGGACCGCGAAATTCTGGCCAGAAGGCCTTGCTGCATGCCGCGCTCGAACTTGAGAACTGCCACCTTGGGAGAAGGCTAGTGGTGGGTGGTCAGTGCAGCTAATACCGGACGATGGGATGCTCTCACAATTTCCACATCGACCTTGACCTTCCTGATAGTCAGCCAAGGGATGACAATGCTGCGCTCGGGTAAGTACTACGTGAAAACCGTCCAACATCAGCACTCACAATATGGTCATGCCAAGGGCAAACCAGAAGTCTTGGTGACGGATAACCTGGACGCCATGAGGATTCCAAGAGTGTGTCCCGAGGTCCCAGCTATCACCCAAGATCACGAAGATCCAGGCTTCGTGGGCGTTAGCAGTTGCCAGTCTGCCTTAGAGAAGATGGGCGCGTACTGAATATTAGTGATGTCCTGGAAAAACCGAGAATGAGCAAGAGAGCTGAGCGAACAACGAGGGTAACCAGGACACACTCACCAGCCCAAGAATCGGTGATGCCGCTCGAACACACTGGAATAAAACAAATGAGCAGTGACATTGAAAACGTAAGCTAAGTACGTACTTGTGATGAGTATTCCGTACCCAGGGGAAAGCGCTCATGATGGTGAAGACGACAGCTATGGTGGTAATTACACCGGTGGCAAGGATGACCTTATGTTCATCCCTTTGGTCCATGAATATCAAGCTCAGCCTGAATATCAGCCAGGCAAATCCGGAGACTCCGCATCCCGAGTGGATGCCGCCCAAGTGCTGCAGCGTGGACGTACACGCGAGACGAAACCAGAGAGGCGTCCACTGGACGATGCTTGGGTTAGTCTCTCATGAGCACAATGATATTGTCCTGCCCACCTTGGCGAAAAGAGTGTTGACCGTAAGGTACAGGAACCGACCAAAGAGCTCGTTCCGCACGAGGATGGCAACATATAAGTTACCGAGGGCAAGGGCACCCGTAGTTCTCCTCGGATAGTGCCACTTGTCCAGACCAGCGAGCAAGACTCCGACCGCGTTAAAAGTCACGACAATCGTGAAGAATTTCCTGGGTTGTGGAGTCAGGTGTGCCCTCGACCAAGCGATCGGGGGACGTACCTGTATGTGTTGTACCAGATGAGAAAGCGGGTCCACCGACTAGCACGCTTCCATGTGGCCTTCCCGGGGGCAGGTTTCTTCGGTGCTGGCGCAGGTGGCGGGGAAGTCACCTCTGTCTTGGTTACTGAGTCCGCAGCGGGCTTCCCGTCTTTGAAGTCAACAAAGGTAAGCGACAACCGAGCGTTCGTGCTAGGCAGGGAGATGACATTGTCAAGCATCCCTTTCTCCGGGTCTACTATTGTGGTAGATTCAACCATGGCGGTGGTGTGAGCGATCCAGAATACTGGATATTAACGACCAAAAGAACGCAGAGATCGGCGAGAAGAGAACGTCGGGAAGAGATAGACTCTTCGTCTGTTACCAGAGCGGTGGGTAGAGCAGACTGCTGGGTACTCGACCAACCATGGCTCTCTTATAACTGCAGGCTGAGACGACCATTACCATTTTGTTCTAACACGGAGAGAAAGTGAGGTACGCACGAGCACGGCCCAATTTGATTGACAAATTGCATGCGTTGCGACGCCGCAGCGTCGTCAAAGTGGCTGTTGCATGAGAAGTAAAAGTAAAGATCAGCGCAATACTTGTTCCACATGCGCTGCTCGTGTACAATAGTCTGCAGAAGACTGTACGGAAGATACGGAAAGATAGATCTGTGGCAGATCTAAAGTCAATCGTGAGAAAACATAATAGTACGTAATCCACCGACGTCGGTGCCGTCGGAGGTCAATTGAAGGGACCGCGCTGTTCGTCCTTCGACGATACTTCCCCCGACGAGGCGAGATCCTCTTCTGAAATCAAGCCTTCGTGGCTGAAAATGATCGCCTCCGACTTATGAATGTACAGCCCGTACAAGGCGTCCGGATTGTGCCTATCGCCGACAGGTGCGTTCCGACGTTGGCGCGAACTCCTCGAGACCTGAAGTCTGGATGCCTCTTTGAGTGTCGGTCCCATGCGGAGCGACTTGACGTTTGTATCTGCCTTTCAACCTGACGGCATTTCTGGATCATCAATTCCCGTACGACATATACAAGCGCTAGCGGCAGTGAACAGCAGTCGCCGGCCTCAAGGGTGAGAGCGATTGCAAGCTATTTTGGTATACTACTTGATATTCTCAGCCACTTACCGCACATATCAAACCATGCGGCAGATGCTTTGCGTTCTACTTCGTTTTGCTCGTTCTTTCTGCCAGCACCTGCATCTAGCCATGGGAGAGACGTCGAATACGAGACCTTTTTGATTCAGGGGCTTGTGTTGCTTCAACAATTTAACTGCGCGGTCCTGAGGAAAGAGAGGTCGGCAGGTAACAAGTATTTATCAAATCCTCATCGCCGCCCACGCTCATAATCCATACGAGGTTCGTACTCTCTCACCGGCACTCCGCACCACCAGTTCTTTCTGGGCGCCTCTCAATCTGACCAGGTGAAATTTCCCCAGTGAATCGCCCGTATGCTCCGACTCTCACGCAATGCTCTTGGAGCATCCATGATGTATACGTGAGACCACGTACTGAGGTCATTGTCCGATCCGTAGGCAAGCACGACAGATTCGACGAGCAACTACTGCTTCTGGGTGCTTCTGCTCACTGGGCGATCGGGGTGATGGCTGTGGTGATCGACTCCCGGGGATGACTGTTACCATACCTCTGGGAACGTAGATGCCGGTTAGTGGGTATCGGTTCATCCTGAGTCCCTCGTGCGAGGAAATTTGGACTTCCTGGCTAATGCAGATGCGTGTACATAGAGAAAGGCCAAACACCGGCGGCCACTTCATCATTGTGCATATAAGACAGCATTGGTCTATCGCATTCCCCCCTGCTCCTCGGACACACGGATAAAAGAGTATTGCATTAAACATCTCACGGCCTCGGAAGGGGAAGGTTGTAGTCAGTCTCGTTGACGATCCTCCTGGCTTCCGGCATTCTCATCGATTCGCAGGTACTTACTTCTTACTATGACATTCCCGGTTGTTAGTTGCTCTGCTTTCCCGCAGACGCTACCTCGCACCACCGCGCTGCGCACTGCTCCCGAACGCCGGAACGCGCATAGCCCTAGCCTAGCAGGGATCGTGCACAGCTACGGCCTCTACACAGAGCGAGGGTTAAATTATTATGGATAGTTTCTCCATGTGGAGGTGACCTTCGCCCAATCCCTATTATGATCTTTTGGCCCGAAGACGTCATAACAAGGAATGGTTGCTAGCTGAGGCTAAGCAGCTGTGCCCGAAATATAACTCTGATTCAGAGTCGTATCACCTTCACTGGACAGGTCATCAACAGAGGTAGCGAGTTAGGTGCACGGAGGGGTTCAGGAATCGCCCAAGACACGCCAGTCGACCTCCGGGCTCCCAACCTCCATTCTACTCCAGACCGATTGATGATTGGCTGAGACATACATGTTACGTAATTAGTCTGTTATTCTCCGTCTCGGCTTGGGTTCTTCTGACCTTCGTCCTTGCGTCTCCGTCTTGTCGATGGATCTTGTAACCGACCTGAAGCATGTCGAGACTCTGAAGTCCGAGTGTATTTCCAGAGTGTTCTCGTCCAGCATCTTGATAGAAATATGTGTTTATCAATCAAGTGTCCGACATCCTCTGACGTGAGAAAGACCTTCGCCTATTGGCATATACTAGTAAGTAGTCGAAATTCCCCCTCTGTTTTTCTATTAACCTGGCGAAGATACGATGACTACCGAGAAGGCAGCTAGCTCTAGTTGCGAGACACCGCACCCTTTGCCTGAGGCTGAAGCACCTCGGCCGCGCGGTTGAATAAACCGCTACTGTATAGCTTCACATATTCGGAGGTGATGTCTCCCCGTCTACTATTTCCGCATGCGTGCATTCTGTGAAACTCTGAAGTTCGTATGCTGTGAGAAAAACCGTGCGTTTCGTCATTGCAGTTGCGGTGGTATCACACAGAACGACATCCGCAGGGCGATCTGTGTCGCTATGTCGTGAAATCCACACGGTACGTTTCTACTTACGACGATGGGCATTGAAATATACGAATCAAACGGATGTATGCCGTCACGTTTAACCGAGCGGGCCGGGCTCGTATTAAGGAGATGTGATATGCCATCGCGACATTTTCAAACAGAAACGCTCACAGTGCTTATCTACAGATCATACCTTCCACAGCGGTATCTCGGATCTCTGTGCAAGTTTGGCTGGCTCCGGAGTCCGATGGACTGACATGTCCCGGTAGCAGGGTACTCTTGGATGATCGGTACTGCTTTCGCTGACGTTTCAAGGCCGTTTCGCTGGGGCTTCTGTGCTATGTTGAAGGACAGCGACCATGAAAACTATGTTTGGAGGCGGCCTGTCGATTTGAGAACGATGCCGTAACAATCTCAGGGTATAGCGCAAGCCTTTCACTTACGATCAGTTCCAGTGATCGCATTCACACAGGCAGGCGCTCCGGTGCGGCCTTTCTACCCAATATATCAAACACGGTACCACATGCGCTGCATCTTCATCCTAGGACATGACTACCTATCCAACAGCGCTCCTTAGTCTCAAGCCACGCTTCGGTGACATTTGTCTGTAGGCCCCATTTCGCATCAATGACGCAGGCCCCCGACACGAAGACAAAACACGACGATGCCAAAACTGATGTGCAGCTATCATACTAGGGTATACCGCTCCGACAAATTCCACAAATATCCGCTCCGCGGCTCTAACTGTCTGTCTATGTTCACACAACCCACCATATGCAAGAGAAAAGCAATGCGATCGCGCAAGTCCATGACGCCCTAGCGGCCAGTGATGCTGCTGAAAAACCAGGTACGGGCCCCGTAGCATTCGCGCCTATGTATTGCCGTCCGAGGGAATTTATCTTCCCCGAGGTGTCCATGAGAGCGTTGTTCTGCCGATCAGGATTAGCTGTCATTCAGTCAGCCAGCTCGAAAGGCCGGCACAAACCTCGTTAACACCCTGCATATCGCGCATGGCGCCGAACCAGGAGTATCTTTCTACCCAATCAGTATTATCCATCCATGACTGCGTGGTATTCAGAAATGCAGTAATCTCTTCCGCAGAGCATTGATCGGAAGCGTTATTGAAATTCTGTCGTTTCAAGGTCAGCTATGTAAACCACGGATATGTAGGTGTATCCGCACCTGGCACGCCCACTCTGTGACCCAAATGGGCTTTTGAAAGGTATTGTGAAAGTCCTCCACGTATTGGATGAAGTTACTGGCGTTGATGTCGTACCAGTCTACAGTGTTCCTCAGCATTCGCATAACTGACACAGGAAGAATGTACACGTACGAAGAGCCACAAAGTCGATGGTGCAACCTCCATTACATGCCTGAAGCCAATCGTGCATCCAGACTTTACCGGAGGGTGCACTGGACGTAGCCGGGCTGCCAAGTCTGATGCCCCGAGAGCGAAGAGGCTCGATATATGTGCGCCATAAATCCGCGCCTTGTTCGGCTGTCAAATTCGACTGTCCAGTTTGCTGGGGCCTTATCGTGCGAGTCTGTGAGATCCGTTGGAAGTCAACCCTGGGGACTTACTCGTTCATTCCGAGTACTGTCGTGATTCTATTTTGGCCCATCGTGCGATTGATGGACGACGTCCAGTCGTGGACCTGGTTCAATCCCCATAGCATGGGCACAAACTCCAGGCCCTTGTCTTGGGAAATACCGTAGGGACTCCATGTGTAGTACCTAGACATACATCCGAGTCCGTTAAGTTCGAGCCAATGTCCGGCAATGTCTACTCACCAAGATACTTTGTTGGTGCCGAGGAACTGTGCCATATTCACAGTATCACCATTTGGCCACGCTAGGCCACTCTTCGCAGCTGACGATACATTTGCAACAGCATGGTTCTCATGAGCATATCTTGCGTAACCTGCGCTTGCGCCTGTATTGAATGCAAGAAAGAAATATAATAGAAATGCGTGTACTGATGTCATCATGGGCATCAGGAGTATTCGCAGGCACTTCCCGCTGCCTCTCACAGTTCACTTATAAGCAACATTCCATGGTCTAACCTTAACACGGCCGGGTGTATGGCCTTTGATGCTGTGCATATCTGGGTATGCATGCGCTATGCGGAGCATGCTGGCGCCAGTGGAGCAACCCAATCAACAGGTCCCGGTACCCCTAAAGTAGGGGTAATATCGGCACAGGGCCACAAGTATTAAGTGTAAGCTCGTCGGCGGGAGTCACACTGCTAGCAATAGCAAGCCCAATGTGTACTCATATTGGGCGCCCACCTTACATGGAAAGAGAGATTATACGACAGCCCAAGTATACTATAAGTACAAGATATCTTGAACAATAAACATCGATGGGGGAAACAGAAGATGAGTGAAAAGAATTACCAGTGAATTAAAGGGCCCAACGTCTAGGTATCGCCATTGACGCGAGGTTCAACTGCTGTCTCCACGCGCACCCTCTTGGTATCACGATCACCACCCTCTTCACCATCGTCAGCGACCCCATGCGCTCGCTTGGTGCCTCGCTTTCCTCGCCTTTTCTTGCTTCGACGAGCAGTAGTCGGCTGACCCTCGTCTGCAGAATCACCCGCGTTGGGGTCTTCCTCCGGCTTGTACGCAGCTGCATCTACACCAAGGCGCCTTGACCGCCTCGGTTTCAGACGAGCCTCAGCGGCAGACGTAGGTTGAGATTCTGAAGGGTCGGGAAGACTGTTGCCCACGGACTCTTGAGAATGGGAGGCTACGCTGCTCTGACGAGAGGTATATTTTCTCCGCTTCGGCGGCAGCCGCGACTCTTCAAGCTGCTCATCCTGCTTAGCGTGTGCTTCTGTGTGAACGCTGACACTGCTACCTTCCCGTCTCCAGTCCACTGAGCGAGAGGGCGAGCCTGCCCTTGATGCAGATACAACCTTGCGGGGAGACGGGGTTTGAGAAGCAGCAGCAGATTTCGAGACCGCAGACCTTGCGTTGTGCACGTAGGCAGAGCCGCTCATAGACTCGACGTCGTCATTAGATGCTCTGGTGACGTCTTCGCCTAGAGAGGGCAAGTAGAATACTGAGTGCTGTTCGCCCGACACAAGCGCTTTGAGCACAACGAGGAGATCATCATCGAAACCAAGCGATTCTACGTCTTGAATGGCACGCCGCTCGTCGGCAGTGGTGGCCTCGCGGATATCAACGATATTCTCTTCCTTCACCAAGTCCTGATTCATCAGGGCACAGCCAGGTACCATGAACGTGACGCGAGGCCCATTTTCCTCCCGAGGTATACTGACAATATGGTAGACACAGTGGGAGCGAGTGACCGGGGAGCTGTACTGCGAGTTGCGTCGCGATCTGCGGCTGAGTGAGGGAGTAGGAGGAGCGGTGTCAACTTCTGATGTTGCTGGGGGAGATGATTCTTGCTTTACTGGGGAGGTGGGCGGCGCAGGAGGCAAAGATTCGGGTAAGCGGGAACCCAGTTGTACAGGTTGTGTAGGCTCAGGCTCAGGCTCGTGCTCGTGCTCAGGTGCAGGTTCAGGTTCGGGTTTGGAGGCTGACTTGGGCGAAAGGAGCGGCTCCTCCACAGGTGCCTGCTCTGCCTTGGCGGGCTCAGACTTAGGCACATCTTCCGTGCTTGGTTCTGGCTGCGGTTCGGCTTCGGGCTCTGCTTGAGGTTTAGGTACTTTCTTGGGCTTCGAGCGAGGTCGTGGAACGCCCAAAGTAGGAGCCGTTGGTTTCGGCTTGCGGCCATGAAGATGGAATACCCTATCAACCTCCTTCGGCCGCTTGTCCTCCTTCGATTGCTTCTCAACCCTTGACTCCTTGCCGTCCTTTGATTTCTCCTCCGCGTTTGGCTGTTCGACCGCCTTGGGCCCTTCCTCCTGCTTGTCTTCCTTAGACTTCTGTGCTTGCTGCTGCTGTGTCTGCGGGGGCCTCTTTATACGCAGCATGACCTTGGGGAAAGTCGAGGAAGGCTCTGAAGCCGTAGTGACATTATGAGAGGTCACCTCGCTAGATGGCACCAACAGAGCAGCCACAGCCGCGGCTTCGCCAGAAGACCCGCTCTCGCTATATGAATCTGCGGCTCTGAGAGAGCTGGCAGCTGTTTTCCTCCCGCGTGCGCCCGCTTTTCTGGGCGACGCTTTAGCTTTGGTCGCACGAACTCGCGCTGCCGTAGTGTTAGGCGTGCTCCCGCTGCCATCGCTTCTTGGCTCAGGCAAAGTGAGGGGCGCTAAATCCCGTTTCCGTTTACGCGATCGCGAGGGTGCCGCAGACTCACTCAGACCATTGTCGTTAATGTTGGAGGAGTCTGCATGACGGGTGTCATGGGCTATGCCAGTGAGGGAAGGAGACTTAGCATCATTGCCGCTAAGCGTCGCAGCTTGAGGATTGTTCGCAGTCGCGACCTCCCGAGACTGTGCTCGCTCAGAGTCAAATATCGTACTGGTCCCTAGGTATGGAATACACGCAGTGAGTTTATGTCTTGTACATTGAGCAAGTGCGACTTACCCGCGGGGGTCTCCTCCGAATCATCAGCGGCATGAGATGGCGGTAGGCCAAGAGAGCTGCGCCAGAGACTGATCAATAACACGGCAGACAAAGATGTTATGCCATGCTTACCCCGTGATTGGAGACCCATCTGAAGCCGACTCCTCCTCTTCTTCCGGTCTAGCCTCTTCTTCTTCCTCCTCTTCCGCCACAACGCCGGGGGTGACGCCGCTACGGCTAGTCGACACAGCTGAAGGCTCGGCGTCCGATGATTGAGATTGAGATTGTGGCACAGGGCCGCCATGTACGAGACGTAAGTGAGGCATGTCCTCCACGTAGAGTGGAGGATAACGATATGAGGGCGCTTCATACGCTCTTGCGGGTTGCACCGCTACATCACCTTCAGGGGACTGCGAGCGGAATTCGGGGTATGTTAACTCCAAATCGTCGAGGTCTGAATCATGACCCATGACATCCCCCTCCCCCAGCGAGTCGTCCGTTGTAGGCTTGCCGGCTTCCACCATTCCTGAACGAGTTTGCAGGTCAAGGAAACTGCTTATTGAATTGTCAAGGGAGGGCGTAGACAAACTGTAAGGATAGGGATCCGCATGGAGAACGGGCTGGGATCCATGATGCAACTCCACGGCCTAGGTCATTTAGGAGCAATCGATACATGAGCTCGGCGATGCTGAAAGAACGTTAACTGTATTACTTACCTCCGTGTCGTGTGCTCGCGGGGTTGCGGTAGCCTCAACAGCCTCAGCTGTTGGTTCTGCTGCTGCGACTTCAGCGATGGCCGAGGCATCTGGTTGCGGGGTAACGGCAACCTCCACAGCTTCGGCTGCAAGTTCAGGAATAGCCGGGCCATCTGGCAATATGACACTCATTTGTTCCAGAGAGTCCGCTTCTTCAATACGACTCTCGATATGAAGTGCCGACTTCTGTCTAGCCGGTCCCGTCCCTGACGTGATTCGCTCAGCATTAGAGTTCTCAAAGGCAGTGGCACCAGTGTCTCGCTCGGGTGTGGTGCGCAGAGAGCCTTCGCCCTGCGGAGTGAACAGACCTCCCATCGACAGCGTACGAGAGAGGAACACCGCAGCTCCTCCTGCTTCGGGAGTGGTGGTTCCACCAGTATTCGACACACTGGCAGGATCAGGGACTTCCGGATCAGCCACGATTGGAAGAGGCACGCCATCGGGCATAGTGTCAGGGGAGTGCTTGTCTTCCACTTTGACGGCTGACTCCTCAGCTAAACACGTTTCTTCTTCGTCAGAGGCAGGCACAGCTCCCTCGAGAACTGTCTCTTCCTTAGCAGGTTCAGACGGAGTGCCCGCTCCCTCCGCAACTTGGAATTCGGAAACATCCAGTGCGATCGCCTGTTCAGATAACTGCTGGTCTTTAGTTCCCTCCCTGCCAGCATCAGGCTCCGATAGTTTGACTTCTGGGACGTCCTGATGATCCGCTGTAGGTTCGGTGGCCACATCAGACTCCTATAGTATGAGATGAGTTGATGTTGAGAACAGATTCATCAAGATTAATTGTATCACCTCAACTGCCGCGCTCTCCGCGGGAGCAATCGCATCATCCTGGACCTCGCTCTCAGGCATACGTGCATCCGGACCCACTTCTTGTCTCTCAGTTAACGCCATATCAGATTCTGTCGTCCGCAATTGGACGTCATCGACTGGGGAAGCAGGTTCTGCAGCAATGGGCAGGCCTTCGGATGCGACCTCATCTGGAACCTAAGGGAAGATGAATATGCAATTGTTATGACTGCGAGGGAAAACTTCGCACCTCACTCAATCTGGGCTCTGACTGGACTTCCTCCACGCTGTACTCACGAGCCTGGGAAGCCCTCGCAGCGTACTCCGACGCCGAAATGGAGGCAACATCGTCATCTTCTAGTTCATCAACTTCTTCGTCGTCGTCCGTGCCGACTTCTGGAACGGTATAGTCTGCAGCGCTCGCCTCAGGGGCCGATGCTTCCTCCGTGACCTGCTCCGGTTCGACGACGACATTGACTTCCGCGTCGACATTGAGGACACTTCCCTTCGTAGGTTCGGCGTCGTGACTTATGTCAAACAGGGCCTCGAAAGAAGCCACAGCAGCTTCCTGAGTGGCCTTCGCAAAGACCTCATCCGCTTCATCAGCTGTCACGTTCTCGTCAGCCTCGACGCTGTCCATGGGGATACTCATGCTAAAATCAAGCATTGCATCAATAGTCTGCGAATCCCCTCCTGAGGCAGCAGCTTCAAGAGCAGCCTTGACGACCTCATCCAGCTCTTCAGGGCTCAGCTCGCCTTCAGCTTGAGGGAACTCTTCAGCTCCACTGATGATCTCTTCGACTTGAGATGCATCGGGAACGGCAGCAGAAACAGCGGCTTCAGCGGCACTTTCCGCCACAATACCGGCGTCAACAGTGTCGGACTGTTCGAAAGCTATTTCTCCCTGCGATTCCTGACGGTTCTCGACTTCCTCTGGTGAATCGGAAGTATTCAGCTTCGTACTTGCGCCTTCAACAGGAAAAGCTGGGGGCCAAGTCCAGTCAACGTGCCCGTTAGGCGCGACCTCGAGGGTCCGCTCTTGGGCTCTCCGCTGAAACATGGGAGCCTCTCGAGGCATGTAGGAGGACTTGCCCGCCAAGGTGGGCAAGGCCTCTGCATGAGATAAGTCTCCCTGCGAAGGGAAATTGGGAAGCGGCTCCTCTACGACTAAGATTAGATCGACCGACTGTGGATCATCAGCAGTGGTTGACATACCAATATCACCACGGTCATACAGCTCCTGCCAATTGCATTCCGCCACCCGCTCCGCAGCCTCCTGCACAGAGTCAAAGGGGTTCGAATAGGAGTTTTGGGAGATATGTCCATCCTTTTCCTCGTCCGCAGCTTGTGCCTCAAGGTGCGGCGGTGGGTCTCTCAACCGTCCATCAGAGCCTTGAGGACCTATGAAATCCGCCATAAGCTCCTGCTCAGAATATCGAGGCTCATCAACGGCAGGTTCTTCCCGAGCGGGAGAGCGAGCGCCCTCCTCGTATCGGGGCGTGAGGTAAGACGGATCGGACAATGCGCCAGGGTCGATGCGGTCGCCGCCAGAATAAAAGTCTTCCATATACATTCGAGGGCCCTCCCAAGGGTCGGGTATCTGCGGTGTCCCAGCGCGACCTGGCTGGTGCGGCAGTTCGAGCTCCTGATCTTGCTCTTCGTTTTGTTCTTCGTCCCTAACATTGCTCGCACGAGAATGCCACGTGTGCGGGGGATACGCATTCACATCTGCCTCGCCGTCTGCGTCCTCTTCGAGGTCTACCTTGTCTTGGGCGGGCTCCTCGTCGGAGTCACTGGCAATATCAATAACTTCGTGTTCCGGCTCTTCGCCTTCGTCTTCTTCCCCAACGTCCGGAGTCAACACCATGCCCCCCTCCTCCTCGTCTCCGGCGGTGGCAAGGGGTGGCGTCAGGTTGGACGGCTCGTGAGGGTCTAGCCTGTCACCTCCTGAATAGAAGTCCTCTGCGTAGGTGCGCGGACCCTCCCAAGGATCTGGGACATCAGGCCCGTCGGCTAGGAGAGCAAAGGCTTCATGGGCGGGCACAGGACTGTACGGGAAGCGCTTACCTTCGTCTTCCTCGGAAAGTTCATACAAATCGTCATACAAGTCTTGATACTCATTTCGCTTCGGAGGTGGTCGGGTCGGAGGCTCCTCGTCGTCGGACAAAAGCTCGATGGGTTGGCCGGAGCTGCCCTCGCCGTTCACGCGCGGCGCACTCTCCTCCTCTTCTTCTTCTTCCTCGCTCTCAGCGTCCTCTTCCCCCTCAGAGCTGGCCGCCTCGTCGGAGCCATACTCGTCAGATGCAAAACCTGCATCGGACATAGGCTCCGCGACATAAGACTGCCCCATGCGAAGAGAGGAAAGGCCAGGGCCCTCGCGAGGATCCCTGTCCTTGCCTTTCAGGGTCTTCCTAGACTTGTACTCCGCAAACGAGTCTTCAGGCTCAACTTCTGGCTCCTTCTCCTCCTCCTCCTCCAGTCCCAGCTGTAACTCGACTTCCTCCTCCTCGGTCAACACGGACACGTCGCGAAGATCGGCCACGGGCTGCTCCGTGTCTGGGACCTCGTCCTCCTCTCCCAACGCTCTCCTCAACGCACCTGTCAGGTCATTCACCCACGCGTTAAACTCTGACGCGGTAAACTTGTCGTAGGGATTGATGATTGGCGGCCTGGTTGCGCGTCTCAGGTAGTTCGACGCTGGCGTCGGATTCGGTGCGCGCGGTCTGCGAGAATTCGGGTTTCGGTAGGGCGTCGCCATGCGCGTCGACGGTAGTTGTCGCGGGCGCGACCACTGCAAGTTGAAGTCAGAATGTGGCTCTGGTGTGGCAAGAACAATGTCTTCCTTGTCTTTGCATGTTTACGTAAGACGCGTCATTCCCACGCCGCAGCCCAAAAGGGGCATCCCCCAATATGGAGTGAGTGTTACTTGATTTGGATATGTCGTTGGTATATGCCATCCAGCTCGCTCGTCATATAAAAGAGACCCTGGGGAGGCGCGCTCTCTTTTCTTCCCCCACCATCTTCCCTGCTTTTTAGTAGCGCAGTCCCTCTTTTACGCTTCAGCTTCAAGATGGCAAGTTTCTTTTCCACTCAAGATACGGCGTCCCACTTCAGCCGTTTGCAGTCCGATGGGTCGACTACTCCGACTGTACGTGAATTTTCAAAACAACTGTTATACTCAATCGTACCAAAACCTACAGGTGAACACCAGACTAGACGCCTATTGCCTGCTCATTTCAGAGGGGCCCGGTATTTAGGGTCCGGCGCACGATCTAACCCCGAAGCTCGTGATCAAGATAATGGTCGCGCCTTGTCTCGGCGTACGCCCATGCACAAATGCTCTTTCTTTAATGTTGCAATACTCATGGCTCGTCCTTAAATATCGTCTAGTCGCTCCTTTGCACACCGAGGGCACTTCTTCGTAATGGTACCAGCTCGGTGCGATGCCAGGGCAGAATTGAGGGTCCGGGGCCGATTCCCACGCTAAATGACGTCGACTCCTGCAAAATTAAAAGTCGAGTCACGCTAACAGTTCAGGTCTGCAAGGTCTTCTGCTCTACCCGCCGCGGACCCTCCTCAAAAATGGGCTTTCCGCCCTTAGCGGCGTCCTGTCGGTCGCTAGGTCGACATCTGGGCTGGTCTGCACGGTCTCTGCGCTCGTTCCATGTCTTTTCTCCCCGCTTTTCCCCAGTTCCGACTCCGATTGCTCGTGCAGTTGCAGATCCCATAGTTGGGTATACCCCCAAGGACGGTGAACATGTCCTGAACTCCCCTTCTGAGCTTGCGAGGAAGATCTCTGCAAAGGTTTTACCGAAGCTACCTCGACCGGACGTGCAAAAGGTTCTTATCGTCGGCAGCGGTGGTCTCAGCATTGGCCAGGCTGGTGAATTCGACTACTCTGGCTCTCAGGCGCTAAAGGCACTTCGGGAGGAAGGCGTCGACGCAGTGCTCATTAACCCGAACATCGCGACGTGGCAGACGTCGCATGAGTTGGCTTCGGAGGTGTACTTTTTGCCTATCACTGCGGACTACGTTGCATACGTCTTGGAAAAGGAACGGCCGGATGGAATTCTGCTTACTTTCGGTGGTCAAAGTGCATTGAACGTCGGTATTCAGCTGGATCGCATGGGCGTGCTCGAGCGGCTCGGTGTGCAAGTACTCGGCACGCCTATCAGGACTCTGGAAGTCAGTGAGGACCGAGATCTCTTTGTACAGGCGCTGAAAGGTGAGTACGTGTGTCTGAGTCGGGGTCTCGGCCTCAGTCCTCTGTGCTGGTACTGACTCTCGCGGCTCTATTATTTGACAGAGATCGACATCCCGGTTGCGCAATCAACGGCGGTATCTTCGGTCAAGGACGCGTTATCCGCTGCTGAAAAGATTGGTTATCCTGTCATTTTGCGGTCCGCGTACGCTCTAGGAGGTCTTGGATCTGGTTTCGCGAACGACCCGGATGAACTCCGTGACCTCGCGGCGAAGAGTCTTAGTCTAAGTCCTCAGGTCCTGATCGAACGCAGTATGAAAGGCTGGAAAGAACTGGAATACGAAGTCGTCCGTGATGCTGCTGATGTGAGGATTCAATAGCTGAGCGAATTTGTCCCGGATCGACTTACACTAATTTTCGCAGAACACCATCATCTGCTGTAACATGGAGAACTTTGATCCGCTCGGCATCCACACCGGTGAATCGATCGTCGTCGCGCCTTCTCAGACTCTTCCGGACGACCAGTACCATATGTTGCGTACTGCTGCGTTGAAGGTTATCAGGCATCTCGGCGTCGTCGGCGAGTGCAACATCCAATACGCGCTCAGCCCTCACTCTATGGAGTACTGTGTCATCGAAGTCAACGCTCGGTAAGGCTTCTTAGTATAAGTCTAGAATTTTGGTTAATGGTCGCGACTTTATAAATAGGTTGAGTCGGTCCAGGTAGGCTTCGCACTTCGGTCGGTTATTGTGGCATCGCTAACCCCTTCTTAGTGCACTGGCGTCCAAAGCAACGGGCTACCCGCTTGCTTACACGGCTGCTAAAATCGCGCTTGGGCACACGCTCCCGGAGCTCCCCAACGCGGTGACGAAGACGACCACGGCATGCTTCGAGCCCTCGCTGGACTACATCGTCACGAAGATCCCGAAGTGGGACTTGGCGAAGTTCTCGTCGCAGGTTGACCGCCACATCGGGTCGTCCATGAAGTCCGTCGGTGAAGTCATGGCTATTGGACGGACGTTCGAGGAGAGTCTGCAGAAGGCGATTCGCCAGATCGACCCGCGGTACAAGGGCTTCGAGGCTTATGTCAAGCCGGAGGATCTTGATGATGCACTGACTAACCCGACGGATACGCGGCTGTTTGCGATTGCGTACGCCATGTTCCACAAGAATTACACCGTAGATCAGTTGCACGACCTGACCAAGATTGACAAGGTACTAAGATAGCCTATTTCGCCCTTGTCCGTGGCTTTACTGACTCAACACTTTCATAGTGGTTCTTATACAAGCTGGACAACATCGTTCAGACCGTCTACGCTCTGAAGACGGCGGGCTCGATCGAGAACCTGGACAAGGAGATCATCGAGCGCGCGAAGAAGCAAGGTTTCTCGGACTCGTACATCGCAGACCTGGTGTCCTCGTCGGAAGACGCCATTCGCGCGCACCGTAAGTCCTTCGGCATCACGCCCTTCGTCAAGCGGATCGACACGCTCGCCGCCGAATACCCTGCGCACACCAACTACCTGTACACTACGTACAACGCCTCCGAGCACGACATCGAGTTCGACGAGCACGGCACGATGGTGCTTGGCAGTGGTGTGTACCGTATCGGGAGCAGCGTCGAGTTCGACTGGTGTGCCGTTACTTGCGCGCGGCAGCTCCGGCAGATGGGGAACAAGACCATCATGGTGAATTACAACCCGGAGACGGTGTCTACCGACTTCGACGAGGCGGACCGGCTGTATTTCGAAGAGCTTGGTTTCGAGCGCGTTATGGATATCTATGAGCTCGAGCAGGCTCGTGGTGTTGTAGTCAGCGTCGGAGGTCAGTCATTTCCCTGGAGGGATATACATGGGGCTCAAGGTAGATATTCCAGGCCAATTGCCGCAGAACATCGCTCTTCGCTTGAAGCACAACAATGTCAACGTACTTGGTACTGACCCCGAGAAGATCGACTCGGCTGAGGACCGGCACAAGTTCTCGTCCATCCTGGATAGCATCGGCGTCGATCAACCCGAGTGGACGGAAGTAACGAGCGTAGATGCCGCTAAGGAGTTCGCTCGCAGAGTTGGGTAAGATTGAAGTCCTCAAGTCCTCGGCGCTTTACTCATCGTCCGCCCAGGTACCCTGTTCTGATTCGCCCGTCCTACGTTTTGTCTGGCGCAGCTATGAACGTCGTTTACGAGGAAGCCGCACTTGACTATAATCTCTCGGCCGCCGCGGACGTATCTCCGTTACATCCTGTCGTTCTCACCAAGTTCATTGACAACGCCCAGGAAATCGATGTTGACGCCGTTGCCCACAAGGGCCGCTTACTGGTTCATGCGGTGTCTGAGCATGTCGAGAATGCTGGTGTTCATTCTGGAGATGCCACATTGGTCCTCCCTCCGTTCAGTCTGTCAGAGTCGGAGATGGCTCGCTTGAAGGAGATCGCGCAGAAGGTCGCTGCCGCCTTCGAAATTTCTGGGCCCTTCAATATGCAGATCATCCGCAAGGACTCTGACGTGGAGGGCCAGGAGTCGCAACTGAAGGTCATCGAGTGCAACCTTCGCGCATCCCGGTCGTTCCCCTTCGTGTCCAAGGTTCTCGGCCAAAACTTTGTCGAGATTGCCAGTGCTGCAATCGCTGACCAGAACGTACCTGAGCCGGTCGACCTCATGGCTCAGAAGCGTGACTATGTCTGCATAAAGGTGCCCCAGTTCTCCTGGACTCGTTTGCCGGGTGCCGATCCTTTCCTTGGTTGTGGTACGTTCCCCTTCGTATGCGTTACTATGAGGTTCGAAGCTTACACATTGTATAGAAATGGCCAGTACGGGCGAAGTGGCGAGTTTCGGCAAGGATATCCACGAGGCTTACTGGGCGGCTCTACTGAGCACTACCGGTTTCAAAGTGCCCTCCGCTCAGTCCGGTATCCTCATCGGCGGCGACGTGACTCAGCCGGAGATGCGGTACGTCGTCGAGGGTCTCCAAGACTTGGGCTTCAAGCTGTACTGTTCCTCGCGAGAGGTTGAAGAGTTCTTCAACGACTTGCCGTATGTCTCGGTGAAGCGCATCTTCTTCCCTACGAAGGACAAGCGTAAGCTGCGCGAAGTCTTTGATGAATACGACATCCAATGCGTCATTAATCTGGCTAAGTCCCGGGCCACCAGTGCTACTGACGAAGATTACGTTGCCAGACGGTAAGTCCTCCGTGACGTATGGTGACCTCTCTTTTCTCACTGGATCCACAGAAACGCGGTCGACTTCGGTCTACCGTTAATTAACAACGCGCGGTGTGCGAAGCTGTTCGTCGAGAGCTTGGGCAAGAAAATACCACAAGGTGGTTTGCGTCGATATAGAGAGGGACGGATACCTTCTGAAGTCCGTTCCTGGCGAGAGTTTGTGGGTAAAAGAGCTTGAATTGTACAACCATCTAGACGTGAGATCCTTCGAGGATCAGGCGAGTATCTTGATAAATTTAAAGTATTGTAAAAAGTATAATATAGCTTTTGATATTGATGTCATTGCGGAACGAGGTCTTCGGCAGTACGGAGCTCGGACTCCTGGAGCGGGAGCACCGTGAGTGATCGGGAGAGGTCATGAGCTCTGCACTTTCGGTCGAAAGCGAATCTCTGCTTTAGGGACGGGTCAAGGTCGTCAGTAACAGCGTCTGCCACGAGACTGCCAATGACGGGGAGGAACTGCAAGCATCATTGGTGAGCTATGTCTGCTGTCATTTGGACCAGTCGTCACTGACCTTGAACGCGTGACCACTCCCGCCGGTTGCAAACATGAGTCCTTGGTCTCCGGGATAGTACCCTATGACCCAGTCCTCGTCCGGGGTGTCATTATACCTGACATCAGGGGAGTGTCATTTTTGCAACTTCGCTGAGCTGTGGAATGTGCAAGGGGTCCTCACCAGCACAGGCGTGTTCCGCTGAATGGTTTATCTGCAAGCTCGGGATATACAGCCCGAAGATGCTCTCGGAGAGCCTTCGCCATAGCCTTAGGTATCCGCAAACCATCGACGCCGTGCGATCCTATAGTCCGCGGGGTTGAAATGGGTGTTGTAGACTGGGGCGTCGGTTCAAAGTTGGCGTAGCCACCGGCGTGAATCGCCATCTTGAGAATATAGTCATCGTTCGGCTAGTGTGGTGAGATTCATGTCACGCAAAGCGAGATGAAGGTGTTCTATACGAACTGGAAAGACGTAAAAGCCGGACTTGAAATCGAGTACGACGGGACAGTCGTTGTACTTGAGTGCTTCTTCTGCCGTGAGTTGGATGGTCGCTACACTCTGTCTAAGCAACGTTTCTCCTTCATGATGTTCCCCCCTGAGAATCGAAACGAGAGTGCTTACCCAGTTGCAATAAATTTGTCCCCAAGCTGGACTTCAGGGAAACTAGAGGCCGTCCAAGATCCGGTAGCCACTATGACTAAGTCGGCCCGTATGGTGGTTCCATCGTTGAATTCTACGCCTGATGTTCTTCCATTCCCCTGCAGGAGCCTCTTCGCCGTTTTACCACGCAAGATCCGCCCGCCCAAGGCTAAAACCTTGGAGACCATGAGGGAGGTCCCTTTCGTAGCATTAGCCCACCCTCCGTCGGAGTTCAGGTACCCCGAAGATGTTTCGCTGAAGCTTGTCTTGATACTGGGCGGGAATGCGGAACGCAGTCCATCTGCATCGGAGAAATTCGTGATGCGTGCACCCATAGTGACGTCGTTGTCATATGCTGAGTCGCAGTAAGAGCTTTCGCCCGTGCCCAGAACTAGCACACCGGATCTTACAGAACTTCAGCCACATGAGGAAGAATGATAGGTCTGAGAAGATTTACTCATGGTAAGTGTCGCCCCATTCGCTCTGATCCTTCCAGGCGGCTATAGCCTCGCGGGCAAACCGAGCATAGAAGGGTTCTGAATAAGAGCTGCGGACAACTTCGAACCGTCATTTGATCTGTCTGCTGAAAGCGAACCCACACACTCACTTCTGTTGAAGTCTGTGCTAGCACCATCAGGGGCAGGCAAGACAGTGGATCGGTCCACCACCGTCACCGAAGTGAACCCACGTTTCAGGAGGTGGTACGCTGTGGATGCGCCAAAACAACCTGCGCCTAATATCAAAATGTCGCTTGTTTTATCGACCATTAGGGCTTTCTGTAAATCTTCGCAAGTTGAAGTCTGTAATGAGACGTGCTTTCCCTGGGATGGCGCTCAGCAAAAGGGCTGATTGGCTGCCCTCCAATCGATCGCCGATTGACTTGCCATGTTATCTGGAACTTGGAAGTCTGGACGCCCCTCCATAGGCTAAAGGAAAGGTCAGCAATGCATGCCGGCGGCAACCGACACTTCGGACAAATTCGGACAACTTGGGAGGAGCATTAATGTCCGACAGTGGCGATGAGCAAAAGTCATGGGTCATCAGCCACATTTAGCCTGGTCGTGGTATGGAGGAGCGGCATTGATCATGATAAGCAGCCACAAAATATTGCAGGACGAGCCTATGAAAGACGTATACAACAATATAATTTATGAGGCACGGAATGAACAAGTATTCTAAACAGCGTATGTAGTGAGTCCCATTCATGTTCATATTACATGTGTACGCATTACACGCAGTAAAATACTTCTATGTACAATAAAGTAAAGCACAAATGTTAACAAATAAGTTAATTGAAGAGGCCCACAACCACTTCCTGCATCTGACCGTCCCGGATGGCCTCGTAGATCGAACTGATGTTTTGTCCGATAGTAACATCCTCCACGCCAGCGCCGTTCTCCCAGAGATGCAGGTTCTCGGAGCCGTGCATCCGGACACCCAACTTCACCCTGATGAACTCATATACCGGTCGCGTCCTGCTCAAGTAGGGGATTGCAGGGGCAGGTCCCCGAGTACCAGACAAGTAGTCCTGACGCAGCTGCTTCAGCAGGTCCGTAGACCGCTTAGCGAGGCTGTCACGGAAGGATGGGATGGAGGCAAGTGCTTGGGGTGCCGGGGAAGACAGGAAGTCGAAGAGGGCTGTGGTGGTCTGTGCGGCGATGTGCTGCATGCGAGGCGCAGCGTCCATCGAGCTCGTTTCTTCGAAGGCGTCGACGACGACCGAGAAGATTTGAGACGAGAGCCCCTCTAGAGACGAGCCTTCCAGCGAGGATCCGAAAGCGGTCGACAGCTCCTCTCGGACGATCTTGGAAACACCTTCCATGAACTCAGCCTGCATGGCACGAAGGTCAAGTGCTGTAATGGGACGAAGTCAGCTATCATCCTGTAACTGTTCACATTATGACTGCATACCTTGGCACAGGCAGTAAAGATACGAGGAGATCAACATGGACAGCACTTCCAAGGCATTGATAGTCGCCCGGGCCGAGATCAAAGCCAGCGAGCTGAAACACGCGGGTCAGTATAACACTCACAAGTACCACTATCATTACATACTTCACCGCCTGGTTGTGCATCTCGGCACTTTGGACGTGTGTCGACACGGGATTGGCAAGGTACCCAAGTTCGCCGACGTATGCCGCGGTGGCGATGTCGATACCCTTCGTGTGGTAGTTCAAACTCGGGTCCGTCGAGGCCAAGTTCGGGGGCAGACCGCGGTTCATCGTCGGGTTCATGAGCTCCGTGGACTGCGCGAAGAGGATCTTGCCGATGTGGTGCAGCGCGAGCCGCGTCTTCTCCATCGCGTTCGAGACGGCCATGGCCTGGAAGTTGCCGCCGTGGTGCACGGTCCCGGTGTTACCATCAACCAGGGGGTTGTCCGTAGCTATCGCACGACGATTAATTGAAACCAATGCAAATGTCAGCTAAGCCGAGTACGTACTGGAGTTGCATTCCAGAGTCACCGTCTCCAGAGCGGACAGGATGTCTTCGATTTGGGGGCCGAGGAATTGAGGCGCAGTCCGCAGGGGATACCTGTCCTGCCGGAGGTGTCCCTTGTCCTCGGAGATCGTGACCTCTTCTTCAGCCGTGATAGCGAATGTGCTGCCTTCGAGGAGATCGTGGATCATGCGCGCCGACTCGACCTGTCCGGGATGTGGACGGGCAACGTCGTGAATGAAGGGGTCGAAGGAGCCACGGGTGCCTGCGAGGGCTTCGACGCCCATCGCCGTGCAGACTTGCGCGAGGAGAGCAAGATGCGCGGCTTCGCTCAAAGCAAGAGCGCCGACCGAGGCAGAGAACGCCGTGCCATTAAGGATACCGAGATGTTCCTTGGACTGCAGCGCGACGGGCTCGATCTTGTGCTCTCTGAGAGCATCCCGAGAAGATTTGATGACACGCTGACCGGACGCGCGGGGGCCGTCGAATACACGGATCGAGGGATTCGCAGTGAGAGTCCCGGCGATGTACGACAGTGGCGCAAGATCTGAAAGGAAGCGAGCACAGCGTCAGTTCCCACGGTAATGTATGAAAAGTGAATCTATGTACCCCCGGAAGCCGAAATACTGCCGCGGAGGGGAACGAGCGGGACGATATCCTCACGGAGAAGGTCGACCATCTTCTCGATGAGCTCCCACCGGACGCCCGAGTGTCCCCGAATAAGAGAGTTAATCCGGATGAGGATCGCTCCGCGCACCCAAGCCTCAGGCATGCTTGTCGACGTGAGAGGGTCGGAGAGAGGGAGCGCAGAGCTGGCCTTCGTCGACGAAGGGAGCACGCCCGAGTGCTGATGCTGGAGTAGGGCATGGCCCAGCGCCAGCGTATTACTCGTTCGGGTATCAGCTGCGCGCAGCAGTTAGATGGTTGGACGGTGCCTTATCTCCGAGCGGGAGGACTTACCACTGCCACCGAAACCGGTGCTAACACCGTAGACGCTCTTGAGGCCGTTTACCTTTTCGACTATAACGTCTCGGCTCTTGGCGACGCGGTCTTGCACCTCGGGGCTGTAGTCAAGCGTCACGGGCGAGTTGAACCTCGCTGCCGCCACGACTGCTGGAATCGACAAAGAATGTCCGTCCAACTTTACGGGTTTTCCGTTCCTGTAGAAGATGACCAGTGAGATACGGGTGGCTGACACCGAGTAAACGTGGTATTTACCGGTAGTATTCGAGCTCATGGACAGCGTCGATGAACTTTGGCAGTAAGCCAGAGTCCTTAACAGGCGAAGCGTGCCCGTTAGTAGCGCGGCCATTGGCATGACCGTTGGCAGAGTGGCCGTTCATGGTAGAGGTGCCAGGTAGGTTGTCTGACTGCGCTGCCCCGTTTATATCTTTCTGATGCGAATAATGATGCGTGATGGGGCGTTCCGTGGACAAGGCAGGCATGCTGTTCTAGATAACGGGGCGAGTGGCAGTTGATGACTGGTATGACGGCTGGGAGGATGATGGTGACCTTTGTGTCTGTCTGAACCAGTATTTATACTCCTGTTATGATCGAGACGCGACGTAAGAGCCGCCCGCGAGGAATGAGCGGTATAACCAGATTAGCTGGGACGATCTAACACCAAAAGTGGCGGCTGTCCGACTGGTCTGGAAACCCATCGTGCACTCCTTGATGGCGTACAGGAAATGTATCGTCCAGTCGGCGAATTCGATACAAAACGGCCGTGTAAGAGAGGTTAATGATGACAACATGGAAGGTCAGGAATAACACGAACACTGCCTTAGATCCGACCCGAAAGGGCACAAGAGAGGCTATGATCCGGCCGAGGCTTGCACCCGAGACTGACTTTGAGACCACAACACCAGTAGTGCTTGGCTGCGTGGATACATGGGACAGGGCGGATATACCTGTAAAGGAGAGCCTTCGTCATGAGAACAGGATAATAGAGCAGATACATATTCTTTTTTCGCAATTATGGAGCGTCCCCCGGCAGCGGTAACGCTAGCGTTAAGTATATGTCCATCTTCAGATCTTCCGTACGCATGATGCCACAGAGTCTCCGAAGGACCATCAATGATTGGACAAACTGGTCCCTGTAGTCCGCGTAGTCTCCGGCGTTCGGAAGTACCCAGTCCTCCGCTGCAGCACCGCCTGCCAGTAAGCTATTCCAAGTGCACAGACAGTCTCGGAGATTGGCTTGCACCAGTCACGGAGACGGGCCCGTGCCCTGACTCCGTGCGTGTCATGCACAGCACCTTCATTTCCTTGCAAATCGTGGAGATGGATGTGTCCCTGGGCGCCATCCCGTGCACAGACACCTCGCTAGTGAGTCCGGAAACGCTTTTGGGCGTCTTCCTCAGGCAATCATCCGGAACGCAAAGTTTTGGGGAAATGGCATATGTTGCGATGTCGCGTGTCCCATTGTCGTACGTGCACGTCAGGCTTTGTGTTATCCCTTGATCACAGATGGACGTCAATAATGCGGAAATGTCTCGCGTTTTGATACAGGATCAAGACAAATTATTTCAGGTCTCGGTATGTTCGAATCCATCGTGTCCTCAGGCTGCTGACACCACTTCCCTGACCTTGTAGTACTGGATGAACGTGTCCGTCGGACTCAATCCTTCCAAGGACAATTTCTGGAGTCTCATGGGCTACGTTCACGTTTCCGGCATCCTTGCTGATTCTCTTTTCCTTTGTCACGAGTGCGTTCAGAACGGCTGAAGGGAGGTCACTGGCACGTAGCGATTCCTGCCAGAAGTCGACGAGTCCTTGAGACATCATCGGCGACACACGGCAGGCCGAACTGATATCTCGCTCCAGTTCGGCTAGGTTCAGCCCCCCTTTGTCGTCCTATCACGACGCGCCCACGCTCTAGGATAAAGGTCGTGCCTCAGCGCTACCGCAGCGCCGTTCTTATTATAAGACTCGTTCTCAGAGGACTGCTGTGTGTCGCTCGGCACTAGATCTCTAAACGCTGAGACAGAAGACTGGAACGCATTCCCGACGTTTCTAGTGACGAGCATCTTCATCGACACAACCCGCGAACTCTCATGTCTCGGAATCCGATACGACAGTACCGTGGCAGACAACTCGCACTTCCATCTAGCAAATTTCCGTATCTGCCAAACGACAGCGAAAACACCAGTACTTCGTCTTTGAAAGGAGGTTCTGTCACTCTATAATTGGCTCGCCGGTGTGCGACACAACACCATGAAGGAGCTCTCTATTAATGGGCCCTCGGTCCCGAGGCGTCTGCCGCGTCCGGGATCTCGAACCACTCCCTCGTCGCGGTAGCAGTTCGACGTGTATGTACGTATTTTCACAGAAGTCTGTGGGTAGGTAAAAAATACCCTGAACCGCGTACCTTCTGATTGGCTTTGCTGGTGACTCCACATGCAAGCGCCCTACGTATGTGCATGATTTCTTAGGGTACGTGGTGTCCAGCGGGTTCAGTTCATGTCTCCAGGCTAATGGGTGACGTCGATTTTGTTATTGTGCTTCCCAGAGTCTCCAGAGGTTCTGTCGCGGAAATCCAGGAAGGAGCGCAAAGAGACCCTCTTTTAGTTAACCCACAAGGGTCTTGGGATACAACGCCTCTGGGGGACTAGCAATGCAGAAGCTCAGTCCGTGAACAGCGAAATTCGCAAGCTACGTACTACATAAATCACAGACACGTTTTGACTTCCTCTCATACCATTCCTAAGCTTCGTTTTCCTGGCATTTTAATCTCGACCGGCACTCGGCCAAGACCTTCTGGCGCCCCTCTTCTCAAACTCTCGTGGCAATGAGAACTCAACTGAGGAGGAGGCTGGGGCGTGCGCCCTCTTCTCCTGCGGAATTTACCATGGCAAGTGGATACAGGGCATGAAGGACCAAGCCCGCTGCTTTGGAGCGCTGCCAACGGTATCCACCCACGTTCTCACTGACTGTCTGAGGTAAGGTCTTCTGCTGCATGCGGAAGGCCTGGCGTCTCAGACAGCCAGTGGAGATTTATGGCAGTGGGAGTAGGAGCGAACGTTCCATATGAGCGCTGCTTCTAGACTAGCATTGGCCAAGTCAAGTGGATGAAGGAAGGCCTCCCCTTATCTTCGAGCGGACGTAGGAAGTCTCGGTCTCGCTATCTCACTTTCTGCCTTACTTGTCAAGCCAAGAAAAGTGCTCTCTGTGCCAGCTTCCCTCGTAATGCCTCCGCCGCTCATACTACTACTCATTGGAGTCAGTCTGCCATCGGTACAATTGTCCATCAGTGGGCCGTGGGCTGGATCTGCGTTGAGAGCGCCAGATCTCTCTCATGCCTCGCTTCAGGGGATTCGATCTCGATGCAAGCCTTACAACTGACGGGTGGTGCGATACCTTCACGTCGCCTACAATTCTGGTACGTTTTACTTCGTTCAGTTTATATAGCTCAGTACGTGGTAGTCGCAACTTAACGCGAACGGAGCTCAGGTTTTCAGTGGATCTGCTTGGGCCTGGCTCGGGCTGCCCGGGACGATACTCCACCACCGGGAAATGGACTACAGTATTGCGGGTTAATTACGGACGTGTCAGCTGTTCTAGCGCGTCGATGATTACCTGGTCATGTCAAAACTTCTGCGCTAAGGCGGCTAAGTTCTGGTTCAAACATCCCCAAGAGCTGAGCTAAACTCGCCCGCTATTCTCATGACCAAAAGACTGTGGAAGATAGTAAACATCCGTAAGAAATAAAGTGTGGCGTCGAGTTCTTTCTCTTTTCCACCGAATTCGTTGAGAATGGGCAATGCGCATGGGTGCGGAGGGGAAAATAGGAGATGAATGAGATCGCAATATTCCGTCAAGAAATTATATATTTGCGAGGCAGGGTTTCGCGCAGTAACCTTGCAAACACTGTAGACTCGTGTCCAGTCTACCTAACGCACGCGCAACGACCGCATAGGAGGAAAGAGAAAAATATGAATTTTATTTGTCGAGGAGAGTTATTGGGCGCGGGTGGAACGCGTGCTGTGTCGATACCTGCCAGACACAGGTTCCGAGTCATAGCTGAGGAGGCAAGCTTGTTCGAGCCTACAGGTGCCACAACGGCAAGTGCCGGCACTCTCTGGGTGACGAGAATATCTTAGGTCAGCATACCCAAATTTGACCCGCCACAGTTCAGTGTCTAGCCGGCCATCCTTCGACAACATCCTCGTTTCTCGATTCCTATCACTATGGTATGTTCTCCGCTCAAACGGATACTCAGGCAGGTTTGACGGATTTGGAAAACAGGGGAAGGCAAAAAAGACGCGAAAGTTCGCCCAGGTCAAGCGACTTCTGAACCCTAACGATATTAGATTGTAAGTCTCGGGCTGCTGGGAGTACATGAAGGTGGTCGTGTTGACACATGTGCCGGCGAACAGAAAGGAGAACCAGCTGAAGCAGAAACAAAAAGAGAAGGAGGAGAAGGAAAAGGCCACCCGTCGAGTGTACGCTATACTTCGTGAACGTCCTCCATCGCCCACTGACGAGACCCTTCTCTTCTGCGGACAGTGAGCAAGTGGCCTCTTCGATGTTCCTGGCTCACAACTCTGCTCTCGTACCTCCGTATCGAGTGCTCATTGATACCAACTTCATCAACTTTAGCCTGCAAAATAAACTGGAGCTCATTAGCGGAATGATGGACTGTCTCTACGCCAAATGTATGTGCACCGAGCACGTAGCTGGACTGGTACTGAATACCCTCTATTTGGAAGGCATACCTTGTGTTACGGACTGTGTGATGGCGGAGTTGGAGAAACTGGGTCATCGATATCGGGTCGCGCTTCGGTAAATGCACTTCCTCGTAGCTGATCATCCAGGCTGCTCATCGTGTTCCCTGCATCATTTCAGAGTGGCTCGAGATCCGCGGTTTGAACGCATACCATGCTCCCATGCCGGCACCTACGCTGATGACTGCATAGTTCAGCGCGTCACCGCTCACAGATGCTACATTGTGGCAACATGCGATCGGGAGCTCAGACGACGGATTAGAAAAGTTCCTGGTGTACCTCTGATGTACATCGTCCGCCGGCGGTACGCCATAGAGCGACTACCTGATCAGGGTGCGCCGGTTTAGCGGCGTCGACGGAGTATCCAAGACGGTCTGCTCCTTTCAGGTTCACCACGTTGTATCTTTAGTATGTGGGTGCCGTCCAGCTGCTTCTTGGGACATTTAAGCTGATGTCCTACTTTGACTCTCGCAAGTTGCGCGTAATGTAGCATAGTTTATAGGATTAGTGGATCGAGCGGTGTCGATTGAATTTACGTGTTTCATGGCAAACCATGGCCATAAATACCGGTCTATTGTCATAAGGGAAGGAGATCTGTGGGCTGGCCGAGTTTTCTGGCATACCGAAGTGAGTCACACACGATTGCTGGTAGTCCCGTGTCTCTATCTTCACTCCGATTCTTCGCTAACTCCGACCCTCATGAGGTACGTACAGACAGCAGTATGTCATGGCCTCCGATTGCTGTCGGTTGAGGTAGAACCTTCATTTTCGTGTGAACTCAGTAAACGCCGAAGAATCTGGACCGGTGTATTCTCACATTGAGGCGCCTACCTTGCATGCACCCACCTCAACAAAGCTAATACGCCCGTCGAATGACCGCGGTCCGATAAGAGGTCGGCACGACACTTCTCTCTGTTGGCAAGACGCGGTACGTTGAAGCTTATACGAACGACCGTGGTAGCGCTATTCCTTCACAGTTTACTATGGTCTTCAACGTTGTCTGTGAGCGACGTCATTCTCCATCTCCGTTCTTTGGTCGGGCATCGCTCAACCGTGGCGTATAGAGTTGAAGATGGCTAAAAACATCCTTGGAACTCCGTCGGATTATCAGGCTCCCCTTCTGGTGGTGGAGATAAGGTCACGCTACCATGGTTGACGACCCAAGAAGACATCGGGATCCTCCCTCACAGATATCCTCCTTTCATCGTTGACCACCATGTTGGCCATAGCAGTGTTGTCGGTATGCTTACTGCGCATCATCTATGTGTTGTGCTACCGCCTGTTCTTCTCTCCGCTGAGGCATTTACCTGGGCCCTTCATCTCCCGAGTCACCAGCCTGCAGCTTATGTATAATGAATTCACAGCCAATCGTCGATTGTATGTTCACGGACTTCACAAGCTTCACGGGCCTGTAATTCGGCTGGGGCCTAATGAGGTCGCTTTCGCCACTGCGGAGGCGGCCAAACAGATCTACTCTGTCGGCGGCAGTGGATACGAGAAGCCTCGATTCTACCACCTGTTCGCGCATTTCGACGGACAAATGTGAGTCTACCAATGTCCCTAGGTCATATTAGGCGCTTGATATCGGACTTCGGCGGTACAGGAATATGTTCTCGTCAATCTACAGGGCGGAGGTGTGTCGGCTGGTCAATCTAGGGCGATTTACCTCACGAAAACACCTCTCGTGTAGCACGCAGAACGGCGCAAGAGGATTGCTGACCGATTCACGAAGACATGGGTTACTCAACCACAGATATTAGCTATCGTCGAGGAACATTCACGGGCATTCGTGTCCAAGATGGCCCATCTAACAGCCGTGCGGAATAGCGTCGATGTTTATGTACGTCTGTCTTATGGACTCTCTGGCTTATGACTCACAGGAGCCTGTGCAGCGCTACTTGCACGCCTACGCACTTGATTCAGTCACGCATTACCTCTTCCACCCCTACGGCACGCATTCTATTGACGGCGGCGAGGACATGAGACAGGTGGAAGAACTCTGTTATCATGATACGATCAAAGGTACCATCGGGGGAGACTTATTTATAAACGCGCAGTGAATCTTACTCTCGATAGAGCGCTACACTGAAGTCTACTTTCCGCGGCTCTACAAGCTTTTCGATATCTGGGTTAAGGCGTTCCGACCCAAAAAAGGTCCACAGTCCGGCTATGTGTTGGATCATGTACGAAGGACATGCACGAAGTCCGGCGTGGACGAGTCTACTATTCTCTTCAAATACCAGAACATGAAGGAGGCTATACCTCCCCTGGAGATAGCGTCTGAGATAATGGATCAACTCATTGCAGGCATAGACACCACCGGGGATGCCCTGTGTTTCTTGATGTGGCATCTTTCCCTCCCTGAATCGGCCTCGATCCAGCAACGACTCCGTGCCGAACTTCTGGAGAGCACTAGTGCCCCTATCGATGACTTGCCCTACCTGGATGCAGTCGTACAGGAAGGCTTGCGCGTCTATGGCCCGGCGCCTATGTCGTTTCCAAGAGTCGTCCCGGACGATGGAAGAGTACTCGAGGGGTACTTCCTTCCCGGGGGTACTATCGTGAGCTCCCAACCTTGGACATTGCACCGGTTCGACACCGCCACATTCCCCGATCCCGAGGCTTTCATTCCTGAAAGATGGCTTGACGAGGAAGGTAAAGCGGAGAGGAATAGACTTTTCTTCGCTTTTGCAGCGGGAGGCAGAGGCTGCATCGGGAAGAAGTATGCCATCATCTTCGTCTGTTGTGTACCCGCGCTGACGGAGTGTTAGCTTGGCTGTGCTGGAGATGAAGATGTTGCTGAAGGAAGTCTATTCCGCGTACAAAACGAAAGTTGCCCCGGACATGACAGCCAGCATGGAGATATCCGATCAAATCATAGTATCGAGGCCCAAGGATCAGATATGTCTTCTCTCTTTCGAGCCCATTGAAGCAGCCTAGCTATCAATTTGTCGATGTCTATCATTCTGTCGTTACATATGGTGCTTCATTGTCTGATCAAAAAGGAGCCTCGTTCGAACAGCGTGCGCTTTCACAACTGCCGGATTGAGACACGTAGTGAGAGGTTTACTTACACTCCCCCCTCCCCAAGGGAAGCCTAGGATCGATTGGAGTGCATCCATTGACAACCATCGACAAAGGATCCCCGTTACCAGACATGACAGTTTCGTACCTTATGATGAAGGAATGATGTAGTAACCATTGCAGACTAATTCGCAGACAACTTGAAAGTGGTATAAAGGAGCCCCGGTTATGAATGATGAAGCTTGACCCATATCTTCGCGTCTCGCTCACGTCTTTCGGGTCTGCCATTCCGGATCCGTAAGACAACGGTGCGTCACCACGACGAAGGATGCTTCAGTAAAGTCTGCACCACAACAATTAGAATTGCTTGTAAATCGCGGAGAGGATAACGCACTCCGCCATCAACTAAGACTGTCTCTCCTACTTCATTGTCAGAACTAGAGTAGAGTGTCGACGGGGAGGAAACATTGGACTTACCACTGATGAACCAATTGGCGACGAGCATAAGTATGACAGTACCGATGTCTCTGCTAGGAGCGTTGGATACGCCGCATGGAATCTGGAATCCTTCCCAGCCATGCGCTGGCGGACGGATGGGAATACCTAGCTCATTTAAGGTCCCTGGGGAACTTAGCTGCGAAGACCTTTCTCCATCAAGCTGCATCGTTTACAAGCGGAGAAGCATCCTTACAGCTGTCTGGAAGGGGCCTATCGACAGCAACAATGCGAGTTTATTGAAGAACGGAAATCTTGACGGTGACGCTCACCTGGAGCAATGCCATTGACGCGGATACCAAGAGGCAAGAGCTCGTGAGCGAGGGACGCCGTGGCTGCGCCGATTGCAGCCTTCGAGAAGTGGTAAGGGAACGACTGAAGGGCCAGGACTACGTCCTACGTGGGCTACGTTAGTCGAAGACTAAAGGCCCACTACTAATAGCTCACTTTTGTCCACCCAGTCTGGCTGCTCGTCATGATAATCTGCGGTACGAATCTCTGCGAGAACTGATTCTCTGGGCTCTTCCACTTCTCCAGCAAAGGGAGGAAGGCGAAGCTCAGCCAGTAAGGACCAAAGGTGTTCGTCCGCAAGGTATTATCGAAGTCCTCCTCCGTCACATGGTCGAAGTACGCTGAGACGAAGTCGGCTGCTGTTGCCCCCGCTTTAGGGCGGGTCGTGGACCCTTGAACTATGCTGGGAAGTAGTCATGTCATACAGAGCAGCAAAAACGAGCTGTTGCTACACACCCCGCATTATTGAAGAGGACTGTAATGTGCTCCTCCCGTTTGGCTACTTCCTCAGCTAAACGTTTCGCTTCGGACTTGGGACCACCGTCGACATCTCAACTTCTATATTTGTACCGCAGGACATACCTTCAGCCGCACATCTCCAGCTATACCATGCATACGCCCCATATTCGGATTTTTGCCAGCTCCGTCATTCCAGAGCTTGGCCACGCTGGAGCCACATTATCAGACAGAAAATCCTCTATGTTGTTTATACGAGTAAGGATGTCGGCGTACTTGTCAAGCTCCTCCTGCTTCGGGCCAACTGTATACACCGTCGCCCCATTAGCCATAAGCGTAGTGCTTATCATGAGCCCGATACCCTGTAGTCGCCTTCGTTAAACCAAAGCGTCTGTATGGGACCTTCAACTCACCGTCGCACCACCAGTCACCACAGCGATCACTCCTCGTAAATCGAATAAATTCCTCGCAGTGAGATTCTGGAGGACGGAGTCTGCCATACTGTCCTTGAGTAGTCACGGTGCTAGGCTCCCGGCTTATCAAGTACGGGAGAGGACCGTGCGCTTCCGTGCATCTGACCCAGGTACTGACGCTATATTTTTCGTTACGCACATATTCCGAGATAGCTGTAAAGATAGAAATGTCATCATTTGATCGGCATGAAATGGGCACGGCAGACTGAGAATAGCTATCAGCTTCTTCGCGTGGTCAGCACAGCATCAATAGGGCGAAAATAACGGTTTTCACATTACTATCGAGCAAAGATAGTACAGTACTGAGCGAGATGCACGATAGCCGATGGACGAGGACAACTATAATACAGATACAAAATCTACAAGTAATCATTACATCAGTCAACCAGGGCGGACAAGGGAGAAAAAACAGACCAACGCGGCAAGCAGAACGATCAGTTGAGATTCCTCAGTTGCGTCCACTCCTTATCCGTCGTATTGAAGTCAACACCTTTCCGCCTCCACCACTCCCTCGCCTGCTCGCCACCCCCAATCGCATCTTCGAGCGCCTCTTCCACGTCACACATCCGGTACTGCACCTCCAGCCCGCTCTTGTCCCACCACTCGAGCACCTCTGGCCGGTTGTGCTTCGTCGCGCCGACAAGGACCTCCCCGTCGTACTGCAGCCGCAGCCCGCTCTGCAGCCACCACTTGAGCACGTCGACCTTGCCGTGACAGCTCGCGAGGTACATCGCAGATTTATCGTACTTGAATTCTAATGACGACGTCGCCCACCAGTTAAGCACATCGATGTTGCCTGCTGTGGAGGCGAAGTCGAGGGAACGACCGGGTTTTAGAGAGAGGTGCGGCGGAGAGAGGTGGTGTGTTTTCCACCACTGGAGGACCGACAAGTGGTTCTTCGCAGAGGCGAACTCCAAGGCGTATTCAGTGTACTCGAATGGAACTGGGTGCGCTATAGGTTCTTGGGCGAGATCGGAGTACTGCAGCCACCAATCTAGGGAAACGACCTGGCCGTGCCGGGACGCTCCATCAATACACTCCGCAATCACTTTCGGCTGCAGCCGCGGTAAATCTGGGTTCGCATCCAAAGTGTGTTTTAACCACGACAAAACCGCCGTGCGCCCGCTATTCGACGCGATGGTGGGAATCGTCTTGTGCGGACAGAACACCTCCAGGAAGATGTCTCGATGATGCAGGAAGAAGTAGGCCAGGACATGGACATACCCGAAGCGCACGGCGAGGCTGGCGCCGACCTTGGTGGGCGGGTTCGCGCCGGGGTCGACCGACCGGATTAAAGGGAGGTAGCCTGTGAGCATGGCCTCGTCGGTGGATGACGCCCGTGCCCAGGAGAGGGGCCGCGGTAAAGAGGTGGGCACGCCGACTGCCTTGCACAGCTCCCAGTCGCCCAGGCGGTCCATGATCTCTGCGATCAACTCTACCGGGAGGTCGGGGGCCATGATCTGCTGTCGTGCTTTCACAGACTTTTGCGGGTAATGTAACGAAGGGGGAAGGGATACAGAGTCAGGCGGCGAGGGTGGGGATGCATGGAAGCTTGCTCTGCTAACGCTCTTCAGCGTTGGGTTCGGGCTAGTCCTTGGGCTAATGTACAACTCGGGGATATTAAATGTGTGGATGTCGTAGTGCGCTAGCCGTGAAGCCAGTTCGGAGTCGCTCCCCGTCGTCGGTAATGAACGTACTTTGAGGAAAAGGACGAGCTCCTCGTGCTCGAGCTTGCGGTAGGCATTGTGCACCAAGTCGAGAGCTGAACTGTCGCTCTGCCCGCTGTCGAGCGCCATAGGTCTAATGAATTCCGAGTGTAGTCTCTGCACCATCGCCATACGCCAGTCCACTTGTGCAGAACGAACTGTACAACAAAGATCAGTACACACAGTGAGCAGGCGTCCTCTCCAGACACGCACCTGGAATGCACTGCTAAGAATCCAAATGCTCTCGCCAATATCCTTCACCTTTTAACTCAGAAGGCCAGCAGCAAGGGAAACGCAAGTAAAGCAGGACGTAAGAAAGGTCAGTGCAAGCCTGTTGTAGGCCTAGTGGTGCCGGTCCAGAAGCCACTTTGACCCGGACCGCATGGGTCGTTTCCGCTTTAGGGCATTGCTAACGTAAGGATTTCCCATCCGGTTACATGCATAGTTTGTCGCGATCCATCCGGTCAATTGGTAAATTGGTACATTTGTTGCCCTAAACACTTCCAAACGCGGACTCGCTCTACTTGACAGATGTTGGTCGCTGTCTACCAGAGTAAACTGCGGGAGATTATGAAACTCAAACGAGGCTGAACTTTCTGAATTATCTCTGATATACATCTGCGAGTACAGAAGGTCCGTAAACCAGTTGGCAAAGGTTCAGCGCGGCGATAAAACTACCTCATCCGTTCGACGAAATCTGTTTAGCACTCGTGGTCTGCACGGATATACACAACAATCAATATAGACATGAAGCTCCAGGGAGGGAGTCCTTACCTCCAGGCTGGACCCTGACCTGGGCAGAGACGGCTAAGTGGCCGTCAGAGTCCCTGACTTCCAGGTAGAGCGGATCGCCTGTCATACGACGGAGATCAATCAGCGGCATACGCGGATGGGCGCAGCCAGAACGACATACCGACTGGGGCGACGACAAGCCATTCAGCACCGTCTTCTTCCGTATTGCCGAACTCGCCGACTGCGGTATTGTTGATCGCGTCAAGGACCCTGCGAACGGGCATCAAGTTGAATAACCGGTATGTCTGGAAGACATGAGTTGCTTACCTCTATTCGAAAGGGATATCGAATACCAAAGAGCAAGGTGAGGTACATTAGTCGTCTAAGCCCGCCAATATCGGCGCAGAAGTCTACATACCACGAAGTAAGGAGCTGCGAACATAAAAGTCATATCATCGGTTCGAATGACACGATCGTGGATACTCACGGACTCCGCCACCCCAGTGGAACGTGCTGATCTCGCATCGAACAAGCGAAACCCTAGAGGACGTGAGTGCTTCCGACAAGTCGACCTGGAAGGGCCTTACGGGGTGTCAACGAAGACAGGCTTGGTTGCAGCAGCGGCGAGCGTGGCGAGCGCGCCGGCGAGAGCAGTAGCAAAGGTGAACTTCATGGCGATCGCGATGTGTCTCGTAAACTGTAGGAAGTATCCAGCAGGCGGTGAGGAGGCAACGAGCCATCTGCTACGCCTTTTAACTGCCCTCGGTGAGTCGTGACGCAGTCTAGATCGGGATCAGGATCTAGATGCACGCAGGATTGCACAAGTCCCGAGGCCTGAGGATTGATGCGGGTCGTGTAGGGGTGCGTGCGCCGAGCTTGTATGTACGTGACGCTAAGTTGCTGCAGCCTACCAGGTACAACTGAGCTCCAGCTGCAGCATCAGCAGGTGATCCTGAGTTACATAGCGTACCCGTGAAACACCACCCGTCATTGGAAGGGATAGCAGGGCTGTGGAACACCCCGACTTCCGCAGCTTGCCAGTGGCGTGAACGAGACTTCGGGGTATGGTTCCCGTCGTGCGCCTTGATCGCATTATCATCGTAAGTCACGCATAATCGCGTGAAATGTCAGCGAAGCCCCGTCGACATACAGGCGCAATAGACGGTGGCAACGCCGCAGCGACCCGGCAGAGGTGGAGTGAGAGTGGCACGGGGCCAACACTGTTCGCGCCGGCGTGGACTGACCGCGCTCGTTCAGGAACTAGACTGCCGTTTCGACAGATGCGTCTCGAGTAACCCTAACCTTCACGTAGTTGTTGTAAAGAGAGGTGGAGTACGGATAACGGTACACGCTTGCTTGGATTACTTCAAGGGACTGAGCTGCAGGCGCGTAACCCCGGGTCTCGTAGAGAACGTTGCATGGATAAAGCTCGGTGTTCTCGTCCTCCCATCTAGAAATGTTTGAAGCGCACAAGAATGGCACATCTAGTCCTGTCCAATATTGTGACTAGAATGAATCTTACTGGTCTCGACCTCATACTGTTCTCTAAGTGGCCATGGCTGGCTGTTGCTCGTCACGATGCCGGCCAACCACGAAAGCGGACTGACTAACATTTCGCAGTCGTTCGGACGCCGTTAGGTTGACAGTAGCCAACCAGCGTTGCATATTAATGGATCATCACATGAGGAATTAGTACTTCTTCCGTGAGATCTACGGTCCTGTGGCGGGGGAGCCACAGTCCATTACAGTCCCAGTTCCCACGCCATTTGGGACCCCGGCCTCTCCATTCCCCGTCCATCCCGGCCTGCTGGAGGGCCAGATACACGCCTCCCGTGCTTCAAATATTGTATATACTTGCAAATATAATCTATGCTATTGTTAGTAATATTTGAGGGTCAAAGAAGCACATCAGGCGCTCGGGAACCCTACAAACGCGCGGGTGAGGTAACCAGATATCTACCCGAGGGACTGTAAATGCCAAGGCTATGGACTGTGAATTTCGCCAGCGGAAATCGCGTCGTGACGCGATTTGGCGCGGGCGCGCGCCAAAATCGACCCCCTCCTCAGCTAGGTTCGGGTCGGGAAATTCACAGTCCCAACCGCGGCATCACAGTCCACTCGGCACCCAGATCTGTGGCTTGCCCCGAGCTTTAGCTGACCTACTTGCTTGCTCCTGGTATTTATTCCTTA